GCAGGCGGGAAGGAAATGGAGAACAATTGGGGAGAACAAGGCCGGCAGCCCGGGCCTGGCAGCGCTGGCGGTGCCGCTCCGCACGTCCCTCTGCCGCCGTGTCCCCTCAGAGCCGCTCCCGGTGTGATGGGCCCTGGGTGCTGTGGCCTCTTCTCCAGTCTGGATCCCTGTGTGTCACGGAAGCTGTTGGCTATTTGTTGTTTCCTGGGTCAGGTAACAACATTCCTAGAATTATTGGATCATTAAAGCTGGAAAAGACTTCTAAGGTCTTTTCCAACCATTAACCCAGCRTCATCATCACTAATTCATGTCCCCCAGCGCCACATCCACGTCTTCTAAACACTTACGGGATGGTGACTCTACTACTGTCCTGGGGAGCCTGTTCCAATGCCTGATCCTCTCTTCAGTGTAGAAATTTTTCCTGATAGCCAATGTTAACCTTCCCTGGCRCAACTTGAGGCCATTTCCTCTTGAGGCTCACATGGCTCTACCACARTGGCCTGCAGTCCTCAGGTCACAGCTTTAGAGGAGAGGTGTCACAGCTGCTTGTGAAATGCGTGGAAATACCACGTGCTTGAGATCTCTCCAACCCTGACAGATCTCTCCGATACCCGGGTTTGAATGTTACAAGGGAAGGAAACAGACATACACAGAATACAGTTGGAATAAACCTCATGTTTTTGTAAAAGTCAAGCTAGCAGCATATTTTTGCATTCTTTTCTTCCTTAGCATTTAGCACCTACCTGAGTCACAGCCTCGCATTCCGTAACTCTTTTTTCCCCCTCTCTATTTCTGGTTAGTTTGCTTGTTTTTGCAGTCAACAAGACTTCTTTTGAGTTATCTCACATCTCCAGAAGCTGGAGTTTTAAGATAAAGATCACGAAGTAATGACAGTCAGCAACACCGTGCTGATGGAAAACAACAGTAGTCTCTGAGGGTAACYGGTACTTCGAGATGTTTTGTCCATGAGGAGCTCACTCAGGGTGCATGTCTGGCATGCCAGAGATGCAAACACACAAAAAGTGGGACTCTCCCTAAAAAAAGCTGGAAGAAGAGCATGATAATATTTAACTGCCTSTCCTTGAGCCTGGATAATTTCACTCCTGGAATGCCTGTCCAGTGGTGCAGCAAAGGGGGCTGCTGCAATCCACACAAGGTTGGTGCTGTTCAGGTGATGGTACCTGAGAGTGCACCACAGGAGAATTCCATGAATGCCTYCTGGCTCTGGAGAGTACCAACACATTTGTGGTATTTGGGCGCCCCTGATTTGTCCCCCTGATTACAGAAATCTACATGTGTATGGAAAAATCTGCCAGACTCCCTCTGGTTAGTGAGGGGATCATTTCAGAGCCCTAGTCCAAGCAAGCTCAATATCATTCACCTGGTGAGGAATGGCCACAGTTRAATTCCCCAATTTCTGCTCTTCCATTCTTTTTCTGGCCCTCATCTGTGCTGGGCTGTCTGTCAGAGCCCAGGGGCTGTYTGGTCCTGGCCCAAGAGCTGAAGAGCTGCTCACTGGAGCCGCGAGGACACACCTCTTGTGTCCCACTGAGCCAGCACTAACTGCCTGGTAGGAGCAGACCCCAAGGAGATGTTCCCTTCAAGAGCCTTTGCCCCTCTCTGGCCTCGTGCTGCTGCCCGCAGCGCTGGGCCCAGGCTGGTGCATGTTCTGCATCATCCCCTCTTTCCATTCTCTCCACAGATCTGGTGAGCAGCTATTCTATGACCCCTCCTACTCTGAGCATCACTGAGGAGGAGCACRTCATCAACGCCAAGGACACGCTGACCATCACCTGCAGGTAAGGCACCAGCAAATGTGTCTCTGTCTAAAATGCTCTTACCAATACTGGTGAGTATTGGAGGATCAGGCAAGGGGAACCCACTAGGGACACCTTGGCTACAGTACTCCCACAAATTAGCATGTCTGACTAGATATCTCCCTAATCCCCCAAGGGTGAATTCATCTAATTAATTGAAAAAAAGCAAAAGATGTCTCAGAGGATTCAATGATAACCTCTGCTGTAGTCTTTCAGGAAAAAGGAAGATAGAGAAACCTTTTGTGTGATTTGATAGCTTTGTTGTAGGCTCTTTAGGGAAACTGGTTTTCCTGACTCTCCTTGTCATTCTGTCATTGCTTATTCTCATCTCATTKGGGCCACCAGGAATGAAGTCCTGGTTTCTAAATCTAGTGGGACATTTGGGGGACACTGAGAAATATCCATGGGAGGAGGCAAGGCTGCACTTAGCGGTGGCTATGAGAGCCTTCCAGCTTTTCTAGGAAGCTGGGATTTAATGCTCTGCCTTTTTATATGTGGGTGAAGAAAAGCCCCAGCCAGGCCAGGTGAATAACTGTGAGAGGAGCTGGAGAATCTCTGGTTGTTTTGGACACTGTAGCTCTGAGAAGGTGGTGTGCCTGAACTGATTTGTCCACGCTGGGACACTTGGCTGTACATGTTTTCTGCACTACCTCCTGTCTCGGAAAGTGAAAAAAAAAAAGCCCATAAACAAGCGGGAGAGTTGCCCAAGGTCAATTTTCCTGGAGTTTCCCTTCAGCAGCTGAAAACATATCCATGCTTGGGATCTGAATGCTGGGTCCAATGGGGATCTAAATTCAGCAAGGGCCTCAAATGGGTGTTTCTCAGTGTTATATATAACCACAGAGCAATTACTGCAAACACTTGGCTGGCATTGTGCTCGTGTCTTGTCACAAACATATTTAACTTTTCCTGGAACAGATGGCACTGCTTTTCCTTTGTGAATCAGTTCATAGCCAAGGGAGAAGGACAGAGGAAAGGTTGTTGATGGTAATTACTGAATTGATTTCACTTGGTCTGRGAGGTTGAGTGGTTGTGAGCTTGTTTTCATCCGGTGACTTGAAGAGACRTGATGTGTGCTGGGATGTAGGAAAYGTGTGAGTTGGAGGACTGGGGTCAGCCATAGAGCTACTGCGGCAGCATAGGGGAAGAGAAGGGATTTTGGGGGTTCCAGTGTTCTGCTGTGGTAGTCTTCTCCATGGAGRGATGTGGGAACTGACACTCTCTGTTAAAACCTTGGAAGAGGGGAGATTCAGTGAGGTTATTCTGAATGAGCTTATAGTCAGGGCAGACCTTTYCTCAACAGGGGCCCAGAAAAGGGACACACAAAGCGGTTTCAAGGCTCTGTTGTGTGTAGATGGAGCCAAGGCTAAAGGACATACAGAAGTTAGAGGTGTGGTAAAATGTGTCTTCTGCAGCTGTGAAAGACTGAACTGGCCAGCCAAAGAGCACAGGGCTGTCTGCAAACAGCACTAAAACTCATATACTCTCTGCCCACATTGCTCTTTAGCTGCTCCTTGTCTCTGCATCCTGCTGTCCCAGATGTGCTCCCTGGGARCAGTGTCCTTCACACTCCTGTGCAATGTTCTTCACACCATCTGCAGGTAGATAAGTCTCAGTATCTCCTGTTCAGAGGGCTCCCCTTTCCCTCTGAGCTCCCAATCCTGTGTTTGTCTGTCTTGAGGAGAGGTCTCTGACTGGGACACTGTTACTTCACTTGARTGAAGAGTAAATCTTTTCTGGTCCCTGGATCTCTAATTACACCCAGCTGCTTCTCCAACCTCTTCTCTGGACCATGGCCCACCCTGGGAAGACCTGGCTTGTGTTAATGGGAGCTGAAGGGAAAAACATRCAGACCACCAAGAGAACAGGCAAAGGAGAGGGTGGTGGGGCAGGGTAGGGCAGAAACAAATACAGAATCAAATCCAGGATCCAGGGATTTCCTGAGGAGCATCGTGTTGGAGGTGACTTCTGTTTGACCCTGGTCTTCCCTTGAGAGCAGTGTCCTCTGGCTGCTCTTCAAGCTGCCCTGGAGCCAGGAGTATGGGCCTGCTCGAAGCAGTGCTTCAGCAGAGAGATGAGCTCAAAACCCCTGTGTGAGGCTCCCTGGAGACCTTTCAAGCTTCACCCACCGAGCGTGAGAGTCCTGCAGCCAGCTGTGCTCTCAGGCTCCCTTGCAGCAYGCTGGATCTCAGACAGGCACAGCTCCGCAGCCCTGCTCCTGCTCCACAGCCCACCAAGCCTCACTGGTGAGCAGAGTCCATGCCAGGTCACGAGATAAGTAATGCCTCTGGAGCTGAGCATGCTGAACAGACACCCAAAGGCTCAAYACACACACAAAAGGAGCCACCAGATCCTGGGCCTCTGCTTTTGCAAATGGCATCACATGCAGTCATGTTCCCTTGTCACCCAGCACAAGGCACCTTTGAGAGGCCCAGACAGAGCAGGGGACCATTGCAGGAACATTCCCCAAAACAGAGATTGTACCAGGGCTGGCTGAGAGCCCCAGGGATGTTTTGATCCAAGCATGTGACAGAACAGGGGAAGGGGCTGATGCCCACATGGACAGTGCAGCTTTTATTAGCTCCCATCCCAAGAAGGAAGGAAAGAATATTGTGAATCTCTGCATTCATGCCCTTGGCAGCCTCCGTGGGGGGGAAGCAGAGAGCTTGTGTTCCAGGAACATTGGAGCAGATCCCACAGGAGCCAGCTGCACAACAGCAGAAACCTCTGGARGGGATAACTTGGTCCTGGCTGAGCCATCCCATCCCACCCTGCAGGTGCTGGGCACACAGGTGTGGAGCAAAGCAAGAAAAAGAAGGGCAAGGATTTCCTTTGCTGCCCAGTGGCMTGTTACCAGAGCTGACTGGCAGATGTACAGACCCATCTGTAGCAGAGGAAATATTTGACCCCAGAGCCCTCTTGGCTCCTGTGGAGGAAATGAGCACTRTGGCAGGGCTGAAGGAGCCGAGGATAACACAAAACCCCCCAACCACTGCTCTGGGGTGGCGTCCAGGAACACACAACACCTGCTGCTCTTTCCTACAYGTGTGTGACTGCTGTGAACATCCTTTGTGGTGCTGAGGGGAATCTGATTTGTCCCACCTAAGCCACAAAGCCACAGCCAGCTTCACCCATCATACCACGCAAGGGAGTTTCAAAGAGAATTGAAGAAAAAGGGTGCCAATTGCAGCATCTCCCTTAAAGAGCATCTGTCCTGAAAAGATTGAGGAAAACAGCTGTGGAGAAACCTACAGTGCTTTTCTTCCAGCTGGCCTCAGCAGGCTCCATTGCCAAGAGGCACATTATCACCGAGCTGAAAGAAAACAACTTGGGAATAAATCTTGGAAGGTGACAGATAGGAAAGAGGGAAACATCSAAAACTGCTGCTGGGACCCTTCCACAAATGCAGAGGGTAGAATCAGAAATAAATCCATGTGAGCTTACCCTCATTCCTGCCTTCCTCTGGTCTTCCTAACGTACCAGTGATGCTAACTTGGACTTGCAGTAATGCCCACACCTTCTGTGTCCCCACCAAGCCTATGGACAGATGAAAGGAAATGAAAGCACACAGGAAAGTAATTCCTGGATTGAGCTGCCCACAGGCTGGTCAGCGTCTGGATGCCCTGGCCCATCCATGTTTATATAAATATGTGTCATTCTGCTGCTGCAGGCCTTGATGGTTGATGAAACAAGTGGATCTGATAATGTGTGAAAACCCCAATGGTAAAAAAACAGAAAGCAGAAACGCTGGAGACTTTTACAATTACCCTTCTCCAAGGGTTTAGTGATCAGTTTTACTATTTTTTTCCCGTGCATGCACAGGATAGGAGAAACTCAAAATTCAGTTCTTATTTTTATCCAAGTGTTCATGAGACTCTGGTACTTCRGAAAAGCTTGCCTGTGCTTCATGGACACAAGCTGCTGGAGCTGAACTTACAGTCYTGCCTGAGGCACTGATGGCATTTTTAGTGAAAGCAGAAGTTTGAGCAGGGTAAGAGGGGCTGTGTGCCTGTCCCCAAGGGCTCGTCACTGCCTCTAGAGCCCTTGTGCCTGCTAACACGGGAAGAGTGCAGCACACTCTCTCCAAACTCATCTGCAGCGAGCTGGAAGAGAGCAAAATCTACAAGAASATAAATCAGCTGCTGAAGACAAAAACAAAAGGGCAGATCTTTCCCCCATGCTTGGACAGAAATCCTGTCTTCATTGCATCTGAGCCTTATGCCCCCCAATGGCACCTTATCTCGCTTCCTCCTTGCTGTCCCTTGCTGTCTGGTGATGGTCACAGTCTGCCTGCGCTTAAAAGCATCTGCCCACGGAGCTGCCCTGGCAGAGGAACTGCGTGTGCCAAACCATCTATTCCCAACTTGCATAATAGATTAACCCAGTTTCCCCTCATAGAGCCAACGGTGCTAACAAAAGGCCATTTTGCCCCACAGCTGTCTCTTACGATGGCTTCTTTTTTTCCTGTTTCTTTTTTTTTTTTTTTTTTTTTTTGATAAGATAAAAATATTTATCCTGTAACTGTTTATGTTGATTAAAATCCAGCGAATGCTTTTTTTAACAGTAGCATGTTGCACATACTTAAGTGACTTTCAGCTATATTGGCAAACTTTCAAGTGGGGACTAGGCTTTCCTCTGAAAGGGGCTCTGAGTTCACAGAAGGAAACTTCCAGTGTGGAATAAAAGCTTGTTTTGTTTGTAGTAAACAAGTGCAGTTATAACAAGCTACAGTGGCACGTGTGTGCACACGCGGGCTCCCACTCTGGAGATCCTCAGCTATATATAAATACACACGTGCACGGTCTGTCTGGGGGTTTCTTGATTTCCTGGACTTTTCTGTCTGTCTTTGGATTGCTGGTGAACAGGCTTTGTGGTGATGCCATCAGAGAGGTGTCTGCAGCTCAGTGTCTATGCAGAGGTGGGAAGGGGTGGTCAGATGGGTTTCGAGGGGCTGCAGGGTGCTGTGCAGAGTGAGGAAACCCCATCCCATAGCAACGGGGAAGGAAACAGCTGGCAGCAGGCCAGAAGGCAGTCAGCTGAGCCTCCCCTTGTTTTCCCTGTGCTGTCTTTTATCCCTGACTCCCTCCTGCTTTTCTCTTTCTCGCTTTCTTTCCAGTCTGCTCTCCTTCCCCCATTCTTCTTCCCACTCCATTCATCACACAATGAGCCTCAGCCAGCAGCTACACTGAGCCAAGGGAAATCATCACATCCATGTGTTTCCCTAATAGCTCTGGACCCTTTTAATAATGAGAGGGAATAGAAAATAAATGGAACCTTTCCCTCAGGGCCCTGTGTGTTTCCCTGTCCTGGCATTCATACCAGTAGGACAGTGCYATGGGACAGAGGGGCCTGCTTGTGAGAGGGYTGGTATTTTAGAGCTTAGCGTGGCYAGAGAGGTGGCCTGGGCAAGGGCAGGAGCCTTTGCTTGCCCAGCACTGAGGGAATCTGGTTGCCATTTCCTTGTGCCTGTTTTTCCCTTGGAGGATGGCTATTCCTCCTGCCTCAGCACGAGACTGGCAGCTGGCTGGGCCACGTGCAGGTGTGCACAGAGTCACACAGAGCAATAAAACCACCCCCATGTTCACTGTGCTCAGCCCAGAGCTAATGCTGCTTTTTGCTCATGTTTAGAGGCCAGCACCCTTTGGAGTGGTCGTGGCCCGGGGGCAAGGTGGACCCTGCTGGGAAGGAGGAGATGGAGTTGGTGGCCTCAGCAGCCCCCAGCAGTGGCCGGGCAATCCAAGAAGAAGAGTGCGAGGGCACTGGCACGAAGCCCTACTGCAAAGTGCTGGTGCTGACCGAGGCACAGGCCAACGACACGGGTTACTACCGGTGCTACTACAAATACATYGATGCCAAAATCGAGGGCACCACAGCGGTCAGCACCTACGTGTTTGTGAGAGGTAAGAGTGGTGTGTGTGGGCTGGGGGCTTGGGGCAGCCATGAACCAACATAATATCCGAAAGATTAAACATTCAGTGCGCCTCCCAGGGCACAGCGTGGCTGCTGCAGCCTCGGGGATGGGGCCAAGGRCTGGTTCCCTGGAAGTGCAGGGGACCAATATCCGTCCGTGGCGGCAGCGCCTGGGATTCAATTACGTCCCATCCCGGGGGCATCGCTCCAGCTGGGCTGGAATGCAGGAATTCAAGGAGTGAGAGCCTGGCCTCAGAGACGCTCCACCACTAAAAAAAGCACAGGAGTTATCTTCTGGGCAGCTGGGGGCTCCCTGAGATGCTTGTGTCCAGGATGGTAGTGTTCCATAAGCTGAGACTGAGGGGGAGAGGATGAGTGGTACAAATAGACCATGTGCAGCCTCYACCTGTCCCTGATGGCCTGAGCTGCTCCACAGTGACAAATCCAGATGCTCCTCTCCACACCGTGCAGGGACTGACCTGCAGGSTTATGAGGCATATTTTGGAGGAGGAGGGATGTTCATCAGGCTTGGGGCTGGAACCTCAGCCCCGTGAGTGGCTGTGGGGCCAATATTCAGCATCTCTGTGTCCCAGGGGTTCCTCCTCTTCTGTCTCCCCCACTGCTCATAGCAGGCTCCAGCAAGATAAATTAACTCTGTCCCCTGGAAACAGTTGGCTGAGCTATTTCTCTTTCCGCCCCCATTTATTAGTTGGTGCAGTTGTCATGAGCCAGGCAGGTCATGACATATAWGATGCATTTTTCAGAAGTCCCAGGGCAAAGCCAATTTTGCCTCTGCAACTATGCAGAGAAAAATGCAGGGGCAAATCAGAAAAGCTGGGCAGCTGTTGGAGAGGAATTGAAGCCTGTTTGGGCAATTGCTTCYTCTTTCCATGGGCTATGCTGCCCACCCTAAAACAGGACAGAGCCTGCCTGAATTTSAGACATCTGTGAGTTGGACAGGGGTGTGCAGACACTCTAGAGGGCTGTATCAGAATGGAGGCAGAGAGCTTCTTAGATACACTGAAAAATGAGTACAACCCCACAAGCTCACATGCAGGAAGTGCTTTTGCAAGAATTGATYTTCTTTGTGATCCAGAAAATGCCATTTTGCCCCCTGATGCACCTTCTCTGACCTCAGCCTCTCTGCAGCTCAGGAGTGGCTCTCCTGTTTACCAGAGAGTGCACATGGTGCAGCTCAGGGACAATAAACCCCACAGTGTCAGGGCCCGTGGGACTCCCAGTGCCTGTGGAAGGCGTGTGTGCAGCAGACCCTGCCAACACCTCGCAGCACTGCTGTGCACATGGCTGCACAGCACATGTTCATACTCAGAGCAATCAGGCTGTCCCTTCTTATGGTTATCAAGCATCTAAGAAACTTCAGAATGCTCCTTTCCAGACAGGAGAAGGGACATGTCAGGAAAACCAAGGCATACGGTAACCACAGCCACTGCAGAACATTCAGATAAAGCCTGTTCCTGCTGAACTGGGCTGCAATGTGAGACTGTCCCTGGAGAGCTTGSAAGGGCTGATGTAAGTGTTGGGGATGTTTGGAGACAGCATGATCAGACCATAGGTTTATCCATCAACTYAATTTCTCATGTTAAAAGCATGGTGGAATTGCCAGGAACAAAATATCTGTGCTTGCCTTGAAAAATGGGTTCTTCTCTATTTTACCTGCAGCTCAGTTCTTAATGAACTCTCCATGCATGTCTCCTTCCCATGTGTCTGCTTAGGTGTGTATTTTATTATAACTACAGATAGCACTGTAGACCAGAATGCCTCATCAGGGAAGGATAGGACAGGCTATGTACAGCCCACATCTCATAAAGCTTAGCATATATTAATGAAGATGCTAAATTATTCCCATTCGACCCATTAAGGCAGCCTTAAGGAAATTTGTGATGTTGTCAGAGAGGGGAGTTAGTGCATGAATCACAAGCTCACTGGCAGCAGGACCAGCCCAGTAAATCAGTTAGGTCTTGGCTGCCATCTGAGCTTGAAGGGGATCTCGTAGTCTCTCACCCCTGGCAGTTGTGCAGCTCCTCCCTCTCACATGCCCAGAGCTCGGGAGAGGAATGAGGAACATGTTCATRCTGGGAAACAAATCTGTGGTTTCAGAAGTCAGCAATCCTGTGGTGGCTAAAAACCCCAGGAAATAAAGATAAGAGCAATCCATGTTTTTATAAGATCTGACCAATACAGTTTCCTGAGCATGGTTTGTTTCACCTAAGCTGCAGAAAAAAGCATTTCACACAGAGGAGAGGTCTTTGCAGCATGACTGAAGCAGAAACTTTACAGATCAAAAATTCAAGGTTTATGTGCTTGACAGTGGGAGCACTGGGTTGGATTGGGTTGGGCCCAGTGTGATTTGAACAACAGAAGTCCCAAGTGAGGGTCATTTCCAAATTCATCTTTGACTTGTCCTTTTAGGTGGGTCTCTTTAGGGGTTGGGTAGCAGAGGGAAAGAATCTCGGGTTGGACAAACATGCCCTCATGCTACACTCCCTTGAAATCAACGGTTTAGCTGAAACACAGATGAATAAAATTAAATGTAGGCCACTGGGATCGTTTGGTCTGATTCCAGCATACCAGCTGTAAAATCTCCCCTGGCAGGATTCTGAAGCAGCCCAGTGTCTTCCAGATGGATACCCGTCACCTCCTTATAGAACCCCCTTCACCCAGGGGACAATTTCCATGAATAAAGCCAATCATGATCATGTACTGGATKGACATTTTCAGAGAGACTGGCAACATCAGGCCTTCGAGACACTAGGAACAAGTGTCTAGAGAATCCCATGAGGCATAAACCACTGTGGAAAAGGGCAGGCAGGTGCTGATACTACAGCACAAATCATCTGTCACTGAGGCCACCAAGCAGCCTTACAATTCTTTGTCTTTTCCAGTTTTGTCTTCATCCCGTTTAATCAGCCTGGGTCACTGCTGATTTTGTCTTCATCCCATTTAGTCAGACTGGGTCACTGCTGATTCTGAGCTGGCTCTGCGCAGAGTTTAGTGTAGCATCCCTTGGCCTTGCTAATTCATTTCATAATGATTATTTCAGGGTGTTTTTGCTCTTCCTGTCAATGTTTTGCTTGCAGCAGTTGGGCGGCAGTGGGGTGGCAGCCCTGGAAAGCTCAGCTCATGTGTTTATCTGCTGGCTGGGATGGCTGCAGGATGACATCTGCATTCCATTGCTCTGTGGATCACTTCCTCGCCTGCGAAGGTCGCGCTGCTGGCCGCTGCACCAGGGCGGCACAGCCCCACACTGGCCCTGCATGGGGACACAGCCAGCAGCCCAGGACACAACACTGATTTCACAAAGGGTCACACTCAGGCWGAGACCTTGAGGGCTCCAGGAAAGGGGAGGCCATTTCCCGCACGGCCCAAATGTCACACAAGTGCCGTTGCACCGGTACCTGTTTAGTGCGGAGGAGCCGGCTGCCTTTGCATTCCCAAGCTCCAGATGTCTCCTCTGACTGCCACATGTGGTGGATGGGGTTCGACAACTCAACACCGCTCCCTCTGTGAAGTTTGTGCTGTGTTAGGAAATTCAGAAAGCCTCCTTTTCTGCTGGTTATTCCCTTTCCCCAGTTTTTTCTTTTCTTTTAGTAGTTGTTTTCCTTGTGTCTTTTCCTCAGATTTTGARCAGCCATTTATCAACAAGCCAGAGACTCTTCTCATCAGCAAGAAGGAGAGCACTTGGGTACCATGCCTCGTGTCTATCCCAGATCTTAACGTCACACTGACCTCGGTGAGAGCTCGGCTGCTGGGAAACTCTGGACTCAGATGTATTGCATTTGTTCTGCATTTGTAATTGCCTGAGTGGAAGCAGGACAGGCACTGCCAGGAAAGGAAAATGCATGGGATACATTTTCCATGGAAAGTACAAGCCACTGGCTTCCTCATTTTATTTGCTGGCTGAACGGTGTTGTCCAGTTCCCTTGGGCAGACCCCACGGGTTTCCTGCCAACCTTGCTTCTCTTCCCTGGAGCTCTATGAAACAAAACATGACTTAATTTTAAATCCATTTCCCCACAGCATCCCCTGCTTGCCTCGTCTCTGTGATCTACAGCCCCTGTAGGTGGTCGGCATCCCCACAAGGGAGGAGGCTACAGCCCTGGGGCTCATGACTAAAAACAGCTCTCTTATCAGTTTGCTTTTGCTTTTGCTTTTTTTTTTCCTTTTTTTTTTTTTTTTTTTTTTTACAATGCAAATACATCTCCTTCCAGGATGAGTGTTACTATTGTACAAAGGCCTCCAGGGACACTCTGGGGGCCAGGGGCCTTTCCCTTGCCCGGGAAGGACAGTACCCAAGGTCACCACTCATCCCGGTGGGGCTGATGTTTGGGACATCAGCATCAGTTTCCTTAGCTATCTCTAGAAGTTTCCATTCCTGGAAGTCTCTGGCCCACTCTGCAGACGGAGAGGCTCATGGTGCAGGATGCGGCTGCTCAGGGTAGAGGRGAGGCCACGATTCCTAGATGGCAAACCCACGGAGGGAGAGGGCAGGAGGCCAGCACAGCATGATGCTGCTTCGTTTCTTCCCACAAAAGGGATGTGTTAGCCAGCATAAAGCCTGGGAGGGGTGGAGTGGGAATGTTGTTACCCTCTTATTTCAGTTGGCAAAATGTTGATTTTTCCAGCAAAATTTCTTCGTTCACTCTGACGGAAAAAGCACTTTCTGGGACAACAAGAAGGGAATGCAGGTACCCACAGACTTGATCAGGGACTTACTGTATGTCCACTGTGAGACTGTAATTGACAAGAAGGTCTTCAAATCCAATTTCTTCATCATCCATATAGCAGGTGAATATATGGGAARGTTCAGGGGAGCAGTTKGGGTGGCTCAGGGGATTGCTATGGYCCTCTCTAGCTACACAGATTCTGCATGGTGCTTATATCTCTTCTGCTGTGTGTCAGACAGAGATACACCATGCAGCAGGAGGCCATTCCCAAACCTCCTGTAACTGCACASTTTGAGCCAAAGAGCTACTAGACCAGAAATGTATTTTCATTGCCTCTTCTGCATCAGGGAGTGAGCTGTACGACATTCAGCTGTATCCCAAGAAAGCCATGGAGCTGCTAGTGGGAGAGAAGCTGRTCCTGAACTGCACAGTGTGGGCTGAGTTCAACTCTGGCGTCCACTTCCAGTGGACTTACCCTGGCAAACAGGTACCAGCAAGCAGCAGCTCCTTGTGCACTGAGCTGTTACCCTCTGAGTTGTCTCCTCCTCATCTTTCATTGTTCCTTTTCACAGCATTGGCAGGGCTCTGCTTCATAATCCTAACACTRCTGTGGCCTGGACCTCTTGGTCTGAGTGTTTTCCCAATTTTTWCCCTGGCAGCAGAAGGCAGACAGAGGGAAGACCCCTTTTCCTGGCAGAAAACTTATTCCTTGCCGAGGTGTTATTGCTCTGGGGTTCTCAGGAAAACAGTGGCTTCACTTTCAGCAGTGCAAATCCAGAACAAATGTGGTTGGTTTAAAAGAAGCTACTCTAGTTGTAGAGCCCTTATGACCAAGAGTCTGCAAGGTGGTCCCTTCCTCAGTGTGTTCACCCCCTCTTGTATCCTCTGGCTTTTTTGAATGGTGGGACAGGGGAGTTCCTTGAGAACATCACTCAGTTCATGGGGCTCCCAGCCTGGTTCCTCAGCTAGGCAAGAGCAAGACATGCTGAGATCTGACCCCAGCCTCAGGCAGTCAGTACACACAACACCCGTCTGTCCATCCCTGAGGATGGCACTTAGTCGTGGAGAACCCTGTAGAGGCAAGCACAGGAATCAGAGCTGTGAGGAGCCCATCCACACAGCCCCATCCCACTGATGTCATTCATCCCCTTCTCTCTGTCATCTCCCACAGACGCAGCGAGCAGTGATCGAGTCTGAGCGCCAGTCCCTGCAGACACAAACAGAGCTCTCCAGTATCCTGACCCTCCACAAYGTCAGCCAGCAGGACCTGGGGAAGTACACCTGCACTGCCACCAATGGTGCCCAGATGCTGGAGGAGAGCACGGATGTCATCGTGCATGGTATGGCACCTTGCAGTGCCCTGCAGAGCCACAGCCAGAGCCCAGCTGCAGCAGAGCCATCCCCAGACTGCTTGGGCAGAGCAGTTCCTGCACCTCCATCCACTCTGCTCTAGTGAAACCCAGCCCTCCTGCAGCCCCTCAGTGCTCCTGTGCCCCAGCACCACGCTGGGAGCACAGTCACATTCAGCAAGGTGCCAAAAYGATGAGAGAGAGATGCCAACACCAAACTGGCCCAAATGCAATGGGTTGGCAGGACACATATACCTTGTGGCCCTGTGGCAAATGCAGTGCCCCCTGTGACAAGGCTGGTCTGGGGGGCACCGGCTGTGGGTGCACAAGGCATCACTGGCTCTGGGCAGCTGTTTCTTGGCAGCAGAAAGTCACGGGGCAGCTCAGCCTCCCTGTGTCTCCAATGATTCCCGAGAGGGAGACAGAAGCAGCTCTTGAGCTGCCAGGATCTCAATTGCCCTGTCACAACACCCTGCCTGTCCTTGATCCTTGTTGTTGGGCCTGTGGAGAGCAGCAGAGCTTCATGGCAGCCTGTCTCTTTTGTGCTCTCCTCCATGGTCCCTTTTTTCCTTGCAGAAAAGCCCTTCATCACTGTGGAGTGGAGGAAGGGCCCGGTGATAGAAGCCACTGCAGGAGACGAAGCTGTGAAGCTGCCAGTGAAAGTTGTGGCTTACCCCCCACCAGACTTCCAGTGGTAACTTTCCTTTCTTAGCTTCAGCACCTTCTCTTCTCCTTCTTCCCTCTGCCAAGTGGGGAAGCCTAGCTTAGCCTCCTTCCTAGGTCCCTCTGAGGCAAAGATTGTCACAAACGTCACTTTTTTCCACCCGTGGAGGTCATTTCTCCCACATGTCCTGGCTCTCAGCTGCACAGCCTGTCTTGGCAGCTCTGCACTGTCKGGAGGGGCCAAGTGGAGTTCCCACYGGAGCTGTCCCTCTTGTCCCTYTGCAATGGGRATCACAGCTGCCCAGAGGAACAAGGTGGTGGGATGGGTTGKGCATCTCATCATGCTGCAATTCCATCAGAGCTTTGCACTCACTCACTGCTCAGGGCAGGGCTACAACACGCCCAACCCCACACACATCCCTATGACACAATGTGCATGGGACCCCTAACTCGGGTCCAGGGCAGGCCCAGAGGTCTCCCCAGAGAGGTTCTCAGTGCTAGCAAGGGGCACCCCAACTGTGCTCTAGTGGGGACCAGCAAACCCCTGCCCAGCTGCCAGTGGGACACTTCCTCCCCATGGCTGCATTTTCTCTCTGCCTCCCTGCAGGTACAAGGATGGAAAGCTAATTCCCAAGCAATCTCAATCTTCAATGCAGATCAAGGATGTGTCGGARCAGCACGCCGGGACATACACGCTGGTTCTGCGGAACAGGCTGGCGGGGCTGGAGRAGCGAATCAGCCTCCGGTTAATCGTCAATGGTAAGGGGTGGGCAGGGGCTGAGGGGGAGTGCTGAGCCCATGGCCTCAGCCTTTAGGCTGCTCCAAGATCCCGCTGCTGTCCTAAAGCAGTTGGTACCTGCATTACCTCTTCATCCCCCACTGCTGAGGGATGCTCTGATTACAGTGTGGCTGCTTCCTTCTGGCTTGGGTGACACTGCACAGTTTTGTTCCTGGCGCTGTCACTTTGGGCAGGACATGTCCCAACTGCAGCTGGAGACGCTGCTGATGGTGACCCTGACTGATGCAGACTCGAGAGCAGGGCAGTTGCCACACAGATGAGGTCTTGATCTGAAGTAGTTCCTCTGGGTAGGAGGCTCCTGTGGAGTTTTCCCACCGCAGAAATTGGTCCCTCTCATGCAGGAAACAGATGCCAGCAAAAAAAATGCTGGAAGGGCACTGCTGCCTGGAGATGTGTTTCCAGCAGGCTCTGTTGTCCTGTGCTTTGAGCCCTGCAGCATCCAGAGAGTTCCACTCACCAGAGAAAGGAGAAATTACGTCATTTGAGTCTGTTTAAATATTACCTGCTGTGCCTTGCAAGCCTGAGTTGCCCTGAGAGCCAGACAGCTGTAGTGCCCTCTGTCTCTGCAGAAGGGCCTGGGGAGGGCTGTGCCTGGGGGTGCAGCGGCCGAGCCTGCAGCCACTCACTATGTCACTCTGATCCTTGCAGTTCCTCCACATATTCATGAGAAGGAAGCCTCTTCCCCAAGCATCTACTCCAAGAGGAGCCCCCAAGCCCTCACCTGCACTGTCTATGGCATCCCAGCACCGGAGGTGATCCAGTGGCAGTGGAGGCCATGGATGCCCTGCCGCATGTTCTCCCGACGCAGCCTGTAAGTGCCATTTCTTCCAATGCTTGTGTCTTGCCAGGCCACCATCATGGTGTTACGGCCTTCTTGTGACATTGGCTGTGTCCCCAGYTGTGTTTCACTTTTGCTCTCCCACCCACATAGCCCCTTGCGGGAAGGCAGAGTGGAGACACTTGTTCTCCATGTGGGAGCTCATGAGCAAGGGCTCACACTATTCCTGCTCTGAGGTCCCCCTTGGTTTTTCTGTCCTTTGTCTTCTCCTGGGTAATAATGGMARCAAAATTGCTCATGGGCAGCTGGTRCTTGTGGGGAAGAATTGCTGAATCCTGGGGAGGTGCCAGATCTCTGCCAGCTGCTGGGACGATTTGCCAGCAGGGTGTTTGTGCCAGCAGCACCARTAGGTAGGCAGGAAGGGTGCGTGCCCACCGCCTGTGCCCTGGGAAGCTGTGGTAGCATCAGGCAGGGCTGCAGTGGCATTTTTTAGTGACAGCCTCACCRGAAGAAGGAAAAGGGATGCTGGGGAGTCATAGCCAGAGCATTCAGGGTGGGGGACATCAGGGTGCCTGGAGGAAGCCAGGTCCYGCAGCCTTGTGTAGGCTTTTGCCAAGCCAGGGACGCCAGAGAGCTTTCCATCGCATGCAAATGAACTGTGGCCCTGTCAGGAAGCAGAGGGGCCCATGAATTATGAGCACTGTCTCCCAAGGCCACCATATTTCTGCCTAGCACAGCTCCAGAGGATGCAGGAGGCTTCTTTCTGGCTTCCTGTTGTTTACACAGCTCATCAGTGTGTTTGCCYCGCCAAGTGCTCTGCCCCACACTGCCAGCACACACCTTTGCCACTGTTCCTGGGCCCTCAGCTCTGCTCTGCTTCCCTGTCACCCTAAGCCTCTCCCTCCCACCCCAACCCACATTTTTGGGCAGACCCTTCCATCTTCCACCCCAGCCCACATTTCAAAAGCATCCTGCAGGCTGCAGCATCCCAGGTCCCTGATAGATGTGGGCACTTCTCCCCACTAGCCTGTCTCGGGCTGGAGAGGTACCACCATGTCCAGTGAGACGGCAGCAGCGCCTCTACCTGGGAGGTCTCCCTCCTGGTTTTTGTTGASTCAGGGGCAGCAGGAGCACCCCTGGGAGCTGCACCCTTGGGTGTTGCACCACCTGCTCCCCAGGCCAGCACCAGCCAGTCAGTGACACCCCTGACTCTCAGTCTCAGCAGGGCTTTAAGGCCTTGGCACTGAGCAAAACGACATCAAGAGCTGCCCTAGGCAGATGTGAATCGACTTCACCCATGCTTTTCTCCACCTTAGCAAGGAAAGATGAAGCTTCAGGCCTGGAGGTGAAGACACTGCCCAGGACACTTGTATCTGTTCCCTGCCTCAATTTTCACACCTACAAATTTTTGCCTCAAGGCAGCATTATAAAGCACATCAGAATTGTGTAACTGAAACACCCAGGAAATTTTGCCGTGTTATAGGACAGGGCTATCAGTTCTGTGACACAAAGCTTCTTTTGCTGCCTTTTTCCCAGCTGACCTTCTCTCTGTCTCTCTCATTTTTCTCCTGCTCATCCCTGCCTGCTGGATTAGCAATGGCAGGCACTGGGCAGCAAGGCGCCATCAGCGGGACCGGATGCCCGAGTGCAAGGACTGGAAAGATGTGTCACAGCAGGACGCTGTGAACCCCATCGAGAGYATCGACACCTGGGTGGAGTTCGTGGAGGGGCGGAACAAGGTGAGGCTGTGTAACAAGCCCATTCCGTGGCAGGGAGCTGGAGATGGGCATGGGAGTCCTCTGCAATCAGCCAGGAAAAGTGGCCTGGAAAGGAGCCGGGCAGAGATAGATTTGGGGAGGGTTTCACACCTCTGCTTCTAAAGTAAACCATCATCTCTGCAGTACCAGGCAGCCCCAGGGCGAGGGAGAGCTGTCATCTCTGAGGAATTACCCTGTGTCCAGAGAGGCTCCCTCTGGGGCTGGCTGCACTGGAGGGGTTTCATGGATTGCTSTTGAACACAGGGCATCCAGCTAGGGAGAGCATGGGGGACAGGCACTCTGGGGGCTCCTGTGGCCATTTCTGAGCATTTTGCATGAGCTGTTCTGTAAGAACCATACCTGACAGAGCATCCTGAACAGTAGGGCAAGAGTCACAAACTGACCAGGAAATCTCTGGCCTTGGGAAGGTCAGAGGGTCTGGTGGGGCATTTCATCCAGCTGTCCCCATCCTGGTGGGGTGAGGGGGGTTTGGAGAAGCTGGTGTCCATCCCCTGCAGCCTTGTGAGCAGGAGCACTGTATGGCCCACAAAGCCACTTCTCCATCACRGTATTTCCTCTCTGGAAGGAACATCTCTCCCTTGTTGTAGTGTGTGTGACCTGCTTGCTGCTGTTTCTGTCCGTCTCCCTGGCAGCCGCGAGTGTCAGGTCTGCGCCATGACGGGGTTCCTGTCCCTGCTGGTGTCGGGCACCAGCCGCTCACAGAGGGATGCAGAACAAACAAATGGGCCCCTGTTTCCGAAAGTCACTTCCTGTTTTCCTACACACCTCTAAAGGCACTTCCTGTCCCCTGGCCTGGCCAGGAGTTCATCACTGCCAAAGGGGTGGCAAGAGCAGATGCTTCTCCTCCTGGGGCAGCCAAAGGGAGAGTGAGGGATTGGTGTTCTCCCGGGAGGCAAGAAGGGGTGGTGGGAGCTCCTGGGTGAGAAGCCCTTATGTCCCACTACAGATGTGATACTTATGTCCTTAAAATACTTATATGATACTTAAAATGGTCCTCTTTGATCTTTCCCTATTTTCCCCATTATTTTCCTCAGCTGTGTCTTTCTCATTCCAGCTGTTTGGTCGTAACTGTCCTGGAGCTTCAACTTAGGTTGTGCATCCCAGGGATGTGCAAGAGCTCTGTGAGAAAAGAGCTTTTCCACTTACAGTGGGATACTTTATTCTCAGATCTGTTTTGTCTCCTTCTTCTTATCATTTCTGTCTGTCTTCTCTTACCATCCTCCTGTTTTTTATTTCATCTGGAAAGGCCACAGGGTGCACGCCTTGCATTGCAGGCAGCAGGATGATGTCAGATCAAGAAACCCCAGCTGAAACATAACACTGCCGATTAGAAGGAAAATCCCCAAGAAACAGGAAAGGCAGCACACAAAAGTGCCAGCAATAGGGTCACTTTGGCTGTATGAATAACCCCAAGAAACGGAAAAGGCAATGCACAAAAGTACCAGTAATAAAGTCACTTCAGCTGTGTTGAGCATGCACTGAATGAATGACTGCTCCTTCTGGTTAACACAACCTAACACATTGCCCCTCAGAACGGAAATGCTTCCCCAAGTCTATGGGATGAATACTAAAGACAAAGAATAGGGAAAACCCTAATTTTGCAGTTTAAACACCATCTCATTAGAGGGATTTCTGCATGTGATTAACTTATCATTTGAACTGGAGCCTCAAACTGCAAGTCTCCTCTAAGGGGAGTGCTTGTAACACATTTGGCAGCTCACACATGAGCAGTGARAGTCAGGAGGAGGAGGAGAGCAGCCTTATTCCCCAGCTGCTTTTCCTGGCTTCTTTGGAGGCAGCATCCCCTGGGTCCATGCTCCCAGGATGGCAGCCTGGCTGTTTGCCCAATCTTAGTCATGTSTTGCTGGAAGGAGAGAGGAGGAAGCTTTTAGGACCTTTTCTTGGAATTCAAAGGGAGAAGATGACAGCTCTTCCTGGAGTCATGAGAGGTGGGATGTTTTCGCAGGTTTGATTTATCCTTATGGATAAAAGGAGTGCTTGCAGGTCTGTAAGTACCTGTAAATTCCACTGAACCCTGTGGGACACTAAGTAGTCACTTAATTGCAGAGGGCTCAGGGAATCAGAGCCCTGGTGTCCTTTACCTTTCTTCCCAGTGTTATAAATACAGCTTGGCAGGAGCTYAGCCATCCCCTCAGTCCTCCATCATGTTACTGTCCCCCTTGCTGAGCACTGTCCCCTTTTTGACCTGAAGGGCTGAGAAAGAAGTTTGCTCCTGTGGAGAGGCATCTATGCTGACTGGGCTCCATAAAAAGAAGCAAAGATTGGGAATTAAATCATGTTGTTGTTGCTAGAGCCARCAGATAAAGCTTGAAATGTACAAAGGGCTGTTGAATAGGGGGCTATTTTTGCATAATCCTTTCCCAGGTACAGCTGTTGCGGGCTTTGCTGTCTAGCAGAGAGCAGCAGTGATCCTAATTCTCTTCCTTGTTGGTTTTTCTAACCCCTCCTTATGCTCTCTTCCCCACCAGACAGTGAGCAAACTGGCCATCCAGGAGGCCAATGTCTCAGCCATGTACAAGTGTATTGCCTCTAATAAAGTGGGYCGAGACGAGCGGCTGATCTACTTCTATGTGACCAGTAAGTACTGCAAAATCCCCCAACCTGCACCAGCCAAGCACTCTGCTTGAAATAGGCAGGTCACTAGAGCTACCAGGTCCTGCCATTCACAGCTGGGATCAGCAGCGGCGACTGGAAAGCCTGCAGGAAAGCAGGGCTAACCCAGAGCTCTGCTGGGTGGCAAACGCCTGAAGCCTGGGCAGCAGATAGCACAGGCAGACCTGGAAATGAGCCAGCACTGCTTGTGCCTAGGTCCTGAAGCAGCCCTGGCAGGTCCTGGGCAGGTCTTGGGCTGGGGACATCCCGCTGGCTCAGGCCCAGGCAGCTCCCTGGGCTGGGGATGTGTCTGGTCCAAGAGCATCCTCTAGTGGCACCACCCGACCCTATCCCAGGCCAGGTCCTGCTGGTCCGAGCCCGCGGCAGTGCTCCCACGGGATTGTGGTGGTGGGAGGAAGCTGAGTTTGTAGAAACCAGAGCCCAGCGGTGCGGGCTGGAGTCGTGGCTCATAGGAGACTCTATGAGCCTCCTGCCAGTGGTACCCCACCCTGGCAGGAGCCAGTCCCTGTCCCCTGGGATGGGGAGCCCAGCAAGGACACAGCAAAAGCTTATTTTCTAGAATGAGAATTCCAAAATAAAATTCCCAGCCCAGAAGGCTGGGCTCATGGCCCTTGTAGTAGTAGCTGTGCTGTGAGAGCCACCAGCTGTTGTCAAGACAAGTGAACATCTTCAGTCGCTATGCAGTAGCGCTCTCTGTGTTGTTGTCCAGGCTGCTCTGTCACTGCCTGCACACATAAAAGTGGGCATGTGTGCAAACCACAATGCTGCTGCTGAGCTGAGAGCAGTAACAGCCTAATTCAGACCTCCCTGGCTTGTTTCATTTGTGACCCCATCTTAATTTGATCCTGGGACTTGAGCATATCCCATAGCACTCATTGGGCTTTAAGCTGTGGTTGGCAGCAGTTTGCATGTCRTAGTTCTGGTCTACAGAGGTTTCCTTTACCCTGTCTGAGGACAGGCGGATCTCAGAGAGCTGAGCCCAAGGAGACAMTTTCATTGTGTCTGGCAGCTCAGCCATGAAAGCTCATTCACATGTTCATTTCCTTCCTGAAAGCCATTCCAGACGGGTTYGAGATTGAGTCCCAGCCCTCGGAAGAGCCCATAGAGGGGCAGGACCTACAGCTGAGCTGCAATGCAGACAACTACACCTATGAGAACCTGCAGTGGTATCGGCTGAACCTCTCCAAACTCCACGATGAAGAGGGCAACCCCCTCGTGCTGGACTGTAAGAACGTCCACCACTATGCCACCAAGATGCAGGGGGAGCTGCGCTTCCAGCCCGACTCCAACGATGCGACCTTGCTGCTCACCATCCCCAACATCTCCCTGGATGAGGAGGGAGATTAYGTGTGTGAGGTGCAGAACAGGAAGACCCGGGAGAAACACTGCCACAAGAAATACATCTCTGTGCAGGGTGAGGGTCCACAGGGCTGGCGGGAGTGACAGAGGAGAGCTGATGCTCTTGCTGCCAGCAGCTTCCCAGTCCATCCCCAGGGGAAGTCACACAAGCAAGCTAAACTCAAAGTGGCAAAGGCAGGGCACCTGGGCTCTCAAGACACCCTTCAGTAGGGGTCAGAGATCCAAAGATCCCCAGGAACACAGATATTCTTTTGATCAATCAAAAGAATTGATTGATCCCTCCTCCTCTTTGTGCTGCTCCTCCAGCCCTGGAGATCCCCCGCCTCAAGCAGAACCTGACAGACATTTGGGTGAACGTCAGTGACTCCATAGAGATGCGCTGTAAGGTGGAYGGCAACCACGTTCCTGAAATCAGCTGGTACAAAGACGAGAAACTGGTGGAAGAAGTGTCAGGTACAGTGGGCTGGGGGTGGATCACATGCATTATGTCCAGCAGCTGGAGAGCTGAACATTGCTGGCTGCTGAGACTTGCTGTGCCCAGATAAAGGCATCCATTCTCTGAATCAGCCAAACCCTTGTTTTAATCACATTCTGTCCTAATTTGATGCAGTCTCACTGGCCAAGTCTATGCCCTAGGGTCTGGCTCAGCACTGTCTGTGCTTGTGCACATTCAGCTGGAGAGCAGGGAGAGAAATCATTCATGTTCTTACTGTCAGCCCAGTGTCTGGCATCTCTGGGACCAACCCAGATCTCATGGAAGGAACATGGGAAGGATTCAGGCACATTGCAGAGGGAAAGGAGCAGGTTCTGAAGCTGAAACAGAACTTGACACACCAGCTGGACTGCCTGGGCACTGTCCCTATTCAGCATGTTTGATRGGGGATTTGTCACCTCCATACAATGCCTGGGGAAGACCCCTTCAGTGTATTTCTGGGGCCATGAAGAGAAGAGCCTCTACCAGTGGTGTGAAGTCATTCTGCCATCTAAAATGAATCGGCCAAAAAATGCAAGCCTTATTTTGTGCCTGAGTCCAGTGTACTAATCTTCCCTTCCTGTGAGTGACCACAACAACCCTCTGTGCCTTRCAGGGATTGACCTGGCGGACTTCAACCAGAAGCTGAGCATTCAGAGGGTGAGGGAGGAGGATGCTGGGCTCTACCTGTGCAGCGTCTGCAATGCTAAGGGCTGTGTGAACTCCTCAGCAAGCGTCTCTGTGGAAGGTACCAGCAGGCACAACACCCCTGCGAATGTCAAGGGGTGGAAAAGGAGTTGTGGCCAAGGTCCCATGCCTTTTCCCTGTGACAGTGGGAGGCAGAGCAATGAAAGCCCCTTGGTCTTGCTGTTGGTATGGTTCTCTCACAGGAAGATCTGTAGTCCAGAGCACGTTTAGCTCAGGCAAACATGTCTCCAGCATGTCTCCCTGCTGGGGCAGGCCAAAAGGAATGGTTGAGTTGGGGCACAGAATGGGGATCTCTGAAGCTATGATTTCCCTCCCATCCCACAGGCTCTGATGACAGGACCAACGTGGAGATTGTCATCCTGATTGGGACTGGAGTTATTGCTGTTTTCTTCTGGATCCTACTYATTCTCATCTTTTGCAACATCAAAAGGGTACATGACCGTCTTGCTACCCCAAGCAGTGGAGGTGGTGTAGCAGGGGTTGGGGCAACCTGCGCTGTGATGTGGGGCTGTGTGACAGCACCTGCTTAAAGGAGGTCATTGAGTCATGTTTTAAGTGCTCTCACTGCCAAGGACAGGGTGCCTAAGGACTGTGGTAAAGGAGRTGATGGGGAATGGCATTTGCTTGGGGGGGGTAGCAGGTCAAGAGAGGCAAAGAATCCAAATAGAGTCTGGGAGTCAGCAGCCAGGGCAGGGAGGGCACCTCCTCACCCCTTGTGTTGGCTGATTCCTGCAGCCAGCCCACGCWGACATCAAGACAGGCTACCTGTCCATCATCATGGACCCCGGYGAGGTGCCTTTGGAGGAGCAGTGCGAGTACCTGCCCTACGATTCCAGCAAGTGGGAGTTCCCACGGGACCGCCTGCGCTTAGGTGAGCCAGACCCCGTCCCTCCCTTKGCATGCTGCAGCCAGGGCTTTCCACCAGCCCTAGAAACTCATTCTCCAGGTTTCTTACACATTTCTGTGTATTTAATGCTTTCTCTCTGCCTCAGGCTTCCCATCTTCTTCCCCAGGCTGTCCCTAAAGCCCAGCTATGCCTGGAAAATCTCTTTAGGTCTGACTGTAGGACTGTAGACAATTCTGAGCCACCTGGAAGCCCAGACTTCCTCAGTGTATCCACAGAGGTATTACTGAAAACAGAAGAGCCCTGGGCATGCTCTAAAACACATCCCCATATCTTCCAAGTGGGAGTCTGGACAGAACAGCCCAGTTCACAGCAGGTACCCCAAGTTCAGGACCAGGATTACGTCCATTATCATCCTCRTGCTGAGACACCTACCTGCAGCCTCTTCCCTGTGTCTGGCAGAGTTTAAAGGGCAGCAGACTACCTTTGAGGCACAGAGCAGTGACATTAGTCCTGGCTGCTGTGCTGCAAGGGGTTGTTTACCTTTCCCACACACAACAACTTGCTGCTCKAGGGCAACAAACAGCCTCTCATTTCTGCATGGCCATTTCCTTCCTCTGCTTTGTCCATGCCAGCTCTGTCTCAGTTCCTCCCATCGTCCTTTCTCTTATTCTCACCGACACAGCAAGCAGCCACCTGAAAGGGCACATATTCCATTCCTTCCTTTTCCTTTATGGTGTTTTTATTTTCTTCTTCTCATGGTTTCCTGCTGGGATTTTTGTTTTCCTTCATTCTATTCTGCCTGTTCTGCAGCTGCCTTTCTTCACACTGACTCCTTGTCCATAGGTAAAGTCCTGGGTCATGGTGCCTTTGGGAAGGTGGTGGAAGCATCAGCATTTGGGATCAATAAAAGTAACAGCTGTGAGACCGTAGCAGTAAAAATGCTGAAAGGTACGTAGACAGTGAAGCAAAACATGCAATGTGTGTAGATAGCAATGAATGAGGCGCCTGCCAGGGAACATTCTCCCTGTAAAWGCCTGTCTTTTAATTAATGGCTTCTTGGCCTCAACACAGTTGATCCTCTTTGCCCCATTCAGCTTCACCAGGAGGCTGAAATGGCAGAACAGACAGCAGAGACTTGGGGAACTCAGCTTTCATGGAAATTTAGCTGTCTGCAAAGGCAAAGAATGAAATCCATCTCAGAGGACCATCCAGAATCCAGAGCCCATCTTTGGCAGGTCACTGAAGGAAGTGTTGCTCCCAATTGCYTTCTTCCAAATGTGCCTGTATTTTGTGTTTATGGGCCAGATCCAGAGCTGGGTAAGGAAACAGGTTGTAGCTCTTATCCAGCTCTGAGGGCTAAACTGGCTTTGTACCCAAAGCCTGGTCTATCCATAGTGAGATTTTAAGCTTTTATAGCCATGCTTTCAAACAGGCATCCAAAACATTATTCTGTAATTTGGCACCTAACAAAACACTGAGGCAGTCCCACACCAGAAGTAGCCTGTACATGGAAATTAAGTCATGGAAATTAAGTCATGGAAATCAAGTCATGGAAATCGAGTCATGGCTCATCTGAGCAGTATTTACTGCTGCAAGTGTACAGATGATCTGCACAGCTGAGGGGAGCCTGGTGTGCAAAGTTGCTTTACAGTCCTTTGAGGCAAGGCTGGCCCATCATCTGCAGCTCAAGAGGAYGCTTCTGTCTCTCAGGCTAAATTTACAAACCCTCAAGTAAGATGAAATGCATATGGGGAAGTTGAGAAGTATGGAAAAGGCACACAGAACSAGAAAATACACCCTGGGGGTAAAACAAAGGGTCAAGAATTGATGTGAATTGGACACTTGAGAGAAAATGCAGTACARAGAGATGGCAGGGGCATGACACTGTGTTTGCTGTTGAAGAGGAATCATCAAAAGGTATCTGGGTTTGAGTTGAGACAGCTCCTATCTTCAGTTGTGATAAAAAGAATCAGATGTCTTTTGTTCCTAATTTTCTTTCAAATTGTTTCATGGCTCGTTATCTCTGTTTGGAGGCCAAAAGGGCAGAGAGTCAAACGGGTGCATCCCTATGAAAGTCTCAAGTGATCTTTTTCAGTACACAATTATCACAAAGAAAAATCTGTTGGGCACAGATTGTGTTGTCCTTTGTTCTGGATCACTGTGCCTGCAGAGAGCACCCTACGTGTTACAGCAGGGATCCTGGGATCTCCAGACAAGGCTCAACATTTCATGTGGGAACATGCAATAACAAAATGTACTGAGGCTTTGAGGTCACAGCCTCCTCAGCAAGACTCACATTAACACACTGCTAGAAAAGAGTGGTGCGGGGGAGTGAAAAGCTGTGAGGAGATGTCATGACACGGTCTCTGTGTTTCCAGAGGGAGCTACTGCAAGCGAGCACAAGGCACTGATGTCAGAGCTGAAGATCCTCATTCACATCGGGAATCACCTCAAYGTGGTGAATTTGCTGGGTGCCTGTACCAAACCCAATGGTAAATATCCCAGRGCAGCAGGCTGTGCCTGTTCCCAGAGATCAGAGCTTGTCCCCTGTGTAATTTTGTTGTCCACAGGTCTGATCGCAGGGATGTGAGGGGAAGTTACTAGTGTATTTGTGTGCACTTAGAGCATGTCACAGCTCAGCAGGGCTGTATATAACACAGGTTGTGGCAAATTCTGACCAACTCAGGTCCTTACATTTTGCCCTAACCTTTTGTCTCTTCTCACCAGGTCCACTCATGGTTATTGTTGAGTTCTGCAAATATGGAAACCTCTCCAACTATCTGCGGACCAAGCGGGAAGGATTCAGTCCTTACAGGGTGAGTTGCTTCTTTTGCCCCTAGGGACTTGTCCCATGTCTAGGGAAGCAAGACATGCAGACTAATCCATGATCTGACAACGTGACAAAGACAAAAACCCTCTGTCCTTCTTTCTTCAATGGAAGATACATGTTTCCAGGCCAGAATTTCAGTTCAAGAACAGGAAGAGACTGTGCAGCTCATGGGTGCAGGGGTTACAGCRTGTGCTACCTGCTGAGGGTTTTGGTTTGATCCCTTGCCAGGAGAAGTCTCCCAGGCTGCGTATTCAGGTGCAGTCCATSGTGGAGGCAGTGAGAGCCGACAGGAGGAGCCGCTCTGGGACCAGTGACAGCGCCATCTTCCACCGCTTCCTGATGCACAAGAGCCGCACAGCGCAGCCCATCCAGGAAGGTAACGCTTCAGCCTYGGCAGCCGCTCCTCACCTGGACCACCAAAACCATGCCAGACTTGGCTAGCTTGGGGAATGGGTAGAGAATAGCAGTGGGAGCTGGGAGCCAGCCTTGGAGCTGATCACTGTTGCATGGCAGTTCCCTGAACAGGGCTATTGCATCATCTGTTGTCTCTTGTAATAGACTGCAGAAACCCAAAAGAGAGAATTACATCTCTTTGGGTATTTTAGCCTGAAAAAAGGAGAACTGAGAGGGATCTTGGTGAGTACTCCCTAGGACAGAAATGATGAGCTGACCTTCAAAGCTGCTTCCAGTCCTGATCCCCACAACTCTGTCTGACTGGCACGGGCTGGAGGTTGGACTCATTCTTCTCACACTTGAGCAGGTTCCTGCCTCCTACCATAAGCAGAAAAGAGGGGAGCTGATCATCCCAGTTAGGACTGAGAACTAACTGTATTTGGCTGAGAAACTGGCTGTATCCTGCAGTCCCAGAGAGAGGCAGAGCACAACAGATTGCTGATTGTCTAATCATTTTCTTGTACTTCTGTACAGCGGATGACTTGTGGCAAAGTCCCTTGACAATGGAAGACCTGATCTGCTACAGCTTCCAGGTMGCACGTGGCATGGAATTCCTGGCATCCCGAAAGGTGAGTTCAGCCTTTCCTTTGCTCACCTGATCTTTTATGCATGCCTGACAAGAAAAAACCTGACTACAGCCACCTTTCAGGTGACACACAGGGAGATTCAGGGATCTGCCTCACACTTCTCAGGAAATTCAAGACAGTTGTGTACGCAAAGCTGAGAAATTAGTTCTCTTGCATTTCARCCTCTCCTTAACCATCTCCCTTTTTGAAATTTTTATCTTTAACTCCTTCCCATTTCCACCATTCCCTCATTACAGCTCAGGCTTATGGGGGAAGGGAAGTGCTCTACACTTTCTGATTGTGGATCCTGTCCCTCTTATTTTCCCCTTCCTCTTCATGTTCCCTCAGTGCATCCACAGGGACCTGGCAGCTCGCAATATCCTGCTGTCAGAGAACAATGTGGTGAAGATCTGTGACTTCGGCCTGGCCCGGGACATCTACAAGGACCCCGACTATGTCAGGAAAGGCAGTGTGAGTGCTATCTTCTCAAACCCTTTACAGATTAGGCCCCCTTGATGGAAAGATGAAAAAAGCAGGAGTGGAATCATTTGCACGGCTGAGACCAGAAACCATTGGAATGATCACACATGTCCTGTCCTCCTCCACCAGCAAATCTGTCTCCTTCCTTCTGCCTCTCAGCCTGTCATTAACTTACTCTTCCTTATGCTTTTTATCCCCCTTTCAGTATCTCCATCCCTCTCTGAYCTAACCAAACATCCATTCCTCCATAGAGAGAGGAGCAGGCCTATTGGCTCTGAYTTCCTTTCATCTCTTTTCATTGCCTTTGTCTTGGGACATATTCCCAACTGAACATTTGTGYCTTGCCTCTCCCTCCTGCAGGCCCGTCTCCCCCTGAAGTGGATGGCTCCAGAAAGTATCTTCGACAAGGTCTACACTACCCAGAGTGATGTCTGGTCCTTTGGGGTCCTTCTCTGGGAAATCTTCTCACTAGGTCAGTGCTAACAAGGGTCTCATGCTGCTGAGGGAGACACCTCTACCCACGTAGCATTTTGTGGGTGAGTCTGTGCAGGACAGAAGGATTCTGAAGCACATTGAAGGACTGATGGGAAGGAAACTGATGTAGCAAAAAAAATATGGAGGCCATATCCACCCATGAACAGAGTGATGGGGACACAGGAATACAGAGGCAGCCTCCAGCTCACCAAGGCAGGGAAGTCTGACTCAGGCAGTACCAAGGATTCAGCTGTGTAGGAGAAGTGACCACATCTCTCAGTGTTCTGGGATGAAGGGCAGTCTCAAAAGGGCAGTCTCAAAAGGACTGRTTTCTGATGGCACATTTCATGTTCCCACCTTTCTCTGAACCTTCTTTAGGGGCATCTCCATATCCTGGAGTCCAGATCAACGAGGAGTTTTGCCAGAGGCTCAAAGACGGTACCAGGATGAGAGCCCCAGAGTATGCCACAGCAGAAATGTGAGTCAGAAACCTGGATTACAGCATATGTCAGAGCAGGGCCTCTGTGGGAGGACAGAAACCTACCAGATCCCAGCATAAGGCAGGACAGACCCCTCTGTGGAATGCAGACCTTTTTCAGCCAGGGTAGGAGTYGAGCCAACACATCCTTCACTCTAGGCTGCTGCCTGGAGAGCAAGGCAGATGGGTTCTGATCAGTGCTCTCCAGGTATCTTGCATGCCTGTGCTGAGATGGGTCTGTAAGCRGGCAGTGTGCTTTCCTGCTCTGAGGGTATCAGAGGGGTCTGAATTAGCTCCTTGTGTGCTTTTATATTTAGTGCATAACAAACCAACACCCTTCCAGTAAGTCCACCTGGCCAGTGTGTTGGGGGTGCCAAGCTTTCCTTCACAGTGCAGGAACTGTCTGTCCCAGTGGGCACTATGTGGATGGGAGCTGTGGAGTGGGGCAGGAGGGGGTTTCTGTGGCATAAAACCATCATCTCTTCTTGGCAGCTACCGTATAATGCTGAGCTGCTGGCATGGTGACCCCAAAGAGAGACCAACCTTCTCCGACCTTGTGGAGATACTGGGGAACCTTCTTCAGGAAAATGTCCAGCAGGTGAAAACCTCCCTGTGTCCCTGCTCTGCTCCAGAAAGCTCTTTCTTCTGTCATCTAGCTCCCTCACTGTGCCCTCGACTGACTCCATGGACAATGCARTATCTTTGCCTAGGCCAACCAGTAACAGTCCTGGGTCAGAGATCTATTTCCCAGAGCTGTTGGAGAGCTCACTTCTGTGACAGCCTTTTAGCTGCATCCTCATAAAACTCTGCTCCTTGCAGGGCGGAAGCTCTCTTAGTCGTCATTCTATTAATTCCATCCTAATCCCCAGATGATTATTTGAAATTCTTCAGCTGAGTCAAGGCCCTGGTACTTCTGCCTCCCACATGCCTGCATAACGAAAACCAGGATTTGACCAGGGTTTCTGAAACTCTGTCCTCAGATTGAAATGTCAGGGCCACGTGAAGCATGCAGCTGTTACATTACAGCAGTCAGTAATACARATTTCATTGAATGTATTACTAATCACATCCATGTGGTAACTCACCAGGACRTTTAACTGTGATGAGCGTGCAGCTCTGATTTTAACTTTTTCTTAATGTTCCCTTTCAGAAAATGATAGCTAAATGCCTGAGTACTGTCTCATCCTGACGTCCCTGACTTTAACCTTTCAGCACTTGTTCCCAGCACAGGCATGACTAAGCCATAATGACATTGCCCTGGAGCACAGTACTTCRTCCATGTAAACTGGAAAACTATGGGATTAAGTTGTTTTCCTGCTCATACAYACCTCCATGCATCACTCACAGCTACTTAACACAAAGGTCACAGAAATCTCCAGCCAGAGAGATTKGTCCCAGAGAAATAAAATTCACAAACTGGAAAATTTCCTTCCTAGCTCTGACAGTTTCTGCCTGTGGAGCCTTTTCTTGTGGGAAGGTCCTCCCCTTCTTGTAAGGCCACTTATTGTTCTTCCTACCAGGAAGGGAAGGATTACATCCCGCTGAACGACTCTCACAGCTCAGAAGATGATGGTTTCTCCCAGGTGCCTTCCTCTGCCCAGCAAAACTCAGATGAAGAGGACTTTGACATGAGGATACGCTGCCACRGCCTAGCAGCAAGGTGAATCCCCTCTGAAAAAGGCAGAGAGAGTCCAGCAGGCAGCCAGAAGCCTGCCCTGTAAGGGAGCCTGAGGGATATGGGGAGAACCCAGATACTGGAAAAATCCCAGGTGACAAGGTGTCATCCAAGCATTTAAGGCCATAGCATCTTGCTYATAAAAGTAAAATTACTGCATTTTGTTGATTAGCAAGTGCTGATGTGTCAGCCTATGACATTCTTTCTTCTCCAGCTATGCTGCCACAGTATCATGTAAGGAGCTTCATCCTATCTGTTCCTAACTAACCCAAACAATTAGTCCCAGGCCTCTCCTTCCTGGCAAGCTATGATAATGTGGCACCTGGTATCTATCTGACATTTTCTGCTTATCCCCAGTGTAGAGGTCATTGGGGCCTGATTCAGTCAGGAAGACTGCGTGCTCATCCCTGCAGAAGTAGTATGGGGTTAAGAGGACCAATGTGACCCCATGACTCTCCTCAAATCCACCATTTGGGTCATCCTCCTCCCTGCATACTTTGGTTGCACAGTGAGGAGGTTGCGCTCAGGTCCTGGTGATTCAGGGCATTATCTCTTGCCTTTACTGAATACAGTATGCTTTTTTTTGGCAGATACTACAACTGTGTCTCGTTCCCTGGCTGTTTGACGGGAGGAAATCAGATCAGGTGTCCATCCAGGATAAAGACATTTGAAGAGTTTCCCATGACACACACAATGTACAAAGCACACCCGGTGAGTAGCATCYGATGGGATTTGAGCAGGGGGCAGCTCTTTTCTGACACCTTTACTGTTAAGACTGTGGAAGGAAGACCACTCCTATCTTATGTCAGTCTGTCTGTGTCATTCCTGTTCAGTCCATCCAGTCCTATGCACATTCATTTCTCCATCTGGCACACAGGGGTTTCTCTCCAGCACAGTTTACACTGCCCTAGTGGGAAACAGGGAGGTTAGATATGCAAACAGGAGGACTAAAAAGGACCTCAGAGAAGAGCCTGTTCTTCATCCTTCTCWAATCTGTGAACACAGCCTGGTTAAGCACACTGAAATCCTGCCAGGACTAGGCAATCCCAGAGTGTTTATCTGCACCTCCTGTATCTTGACCCCATGGCAGTGTGCAATGGGGAACCTCCTGGTCTCTCTGGGCTGGACTGGTACTGATACCTCCTGTAGTGGCAAAACTTAAGTCATACCTTTAGTCTCAGAGGACAATATCATCTCTCACAGATTTGATGGTAATACGTCTTCCAGCCAGGGAGCATTCTTTTTTAATTCTCMAAAAGTGGCACTGAACTGAGCACACAAATCTTACCTTTTTATGTGCTGCTTTTAAGAARGTACCTAAGAAAATCATATCCAGCAAAACTATGAAGCATGCTGGTAAAGTGCTCGTACCCCTTCTTCCCCATCACACATACACATGATCTCATTTCCTGAATGATTTCTCCTCCCTTCCCACTTGATCAGTCGACAGGGATGTTACTGATAACTCCTGTTGCTTCCTTCCAGGACAATCAGACAGACAGTGGGATGGTTCTGGCATCTGAGGAATTTGAGAGGATAGAAAACCGACACAGAAAAGAAGGTGGATTCAGGTACTCCTTAAGTCTAGCCACTGAGGTGTCCCTGCTGCCAAATGCAGTGAGGTCAGGGGGCAGCTCCTGGTGTCTCCCCACAGGCTGCTCAGAGCTCTCAGCTGTGGGCCCTGAGTCAGACAAGTCTATGTACTCCTTAAGAGGCAAAACAGGAAGAGCAGACAAGCCTGCTGTTTTCTAGGGTTTAAAAATATGAACTATGTCCATCAATGAGAATGTGTCTGTTAAGATAATGAGGCACAGTGGAGCAAGGGTGTKAAAGAGACTCTGAATGCTTATTGACATTTTCTGGTGAAATGTATCAGTGCTTGTTCAAGCAGTGGCAGATGGGATGGGCAGAAACTATGTGGCTGCCACCTCCCTCTCTCAGCCCTGACCCATGGGGAGCAGGGCCCTGATGTGGTGGTGCAAGGATGGGACAGGCCTTAGGAATTTCCACATGATGATACAGGATATGATGGGTTGAGCTGGCACTCTCAGAGCTGATGGTTATGTCCTTGCCCCCAGCTTTGAAACTGGGGGAGAACCTGCGCAGCTCATCTCTGCCTCCTGCCAGAGCAGGCTGGGACCTTGTCTCTGTGGCAGTGTGTTGAGCAAGCCATGTCCCCTCACATGTAAACAAGGCCAGTCCCAAAMCTCTTCTTCACGTTCTCTGGCTCCCAGCATCAGACTGGACTGGTCATTGTCTTTTCTCTTAGCCATAGCCCCATGGCCTTTCTGCTCTTGCATCAAACTGTCTCCTGTCCTTGTTCTCTTTTTTCTAAGGCATGTTCCTGTTGTCTGCTACACCTGGTGTCCTGTCTCCTGGAAAACACTGCTCTTAAACCTCTCCTTCAATGTGTCCCTGCCCTTGCTCTTGTGACTTCTTGCCAGCCACGTGGTATTGGCAGGCGCTGAGATGGGCCAGATGATTTCCTCCCACATCTTCTTCACCATCTTCCTTCATTTCCTTTTCCCCATCCTGGCAGTTGGTTTGTATCAATTTCTGTTATTCCTGCCAGGTCTAGAAGCAACAGAGGCAATGTCTCTTGTCTCTTCCTACTCATTGGGATCTCAACATTTCCCTGTATCTAGAAGGTATCCCAAAGGTATCTAAAAGAGCTCAGGTAACTGTACCAGGTTATGTGCAGATTTGTCACAAAACATACAGGCTGTGCTTAGAATTAAAGCAAGGCCTAGTTTTGTGCTTTGAAATGGAGGTGCAAATCCATTCCTGACCCTGTGTCTGCCCYGTGCATTAGCAGATGAGATTTCCTAAAGCTGGGATCTTTCTAAGCAGGACAGAGGCTTTTCTAGGTGTGCCAAGGTTTCTCATTCTCTGTGTTTCTCTCCCTCACAGCAGTAAAGGGCCCAGTCGAACCATGGAGCTGTCAGGGGAACAGTCAGACCTGCGGGGCAGATGTCGGCCGTCATATGGGTCCCAAGTCGGAGGCCAGACTTTTTACAACAGTGAATATGGGGAGCTGTCGGAACACTCTGAGGATGGCAGCTGCACCCCACCTGGAGAGGGGGCCAGTCCCCCCACTCTCCATGCTTCCTTCTTCTCCGAGCAGTACTAATGGCACCAGGTTCTGGTGCCAAGGCATCCCCTCTCACCTTCCAGCACATCATCAGGGTCACTCAGAGCTTCTCCTTCAACCTGTGCCCAAACCAACGGGAGACCTACCCCAAACAGACAGGGAACACTGATGTCCTTGGAACCACAGCATGAACCATGCAGCGCCTCCAGCTGCAGCTTCTCCGTGCCACAACTGGAGAGAGCCCCTCACCGATTGCTCATGTTTCTTTTATTCCTGCACCTCAGACAGATGCATTCTGCCAGAGAGTGGGTGCCTGTGTTCAGCACTACAGTACCTTCTGCCTAACATCCAGCCTCCGCTCAGATCAGCTTCCCATTCAGAAAGCCCATTTCAGGTCAGATATAAATAGATCTGTCTTAGTCTCAAGTTTCTTCCTGGTGTGCAGCCTGAATGYTTTTCCTTGGATTGCTTCCTCCTCCCCTCATCATGATGTCAGCTRCTGAGCTGTGGAGCAGAATCAAAGGGAAGAAATCCCTAGTGGTATTAGCAGCAAGAGCAGGACATTTTAAAGAGGTGTGCAGAGAGACCCTAAGGGATCTTTGTAAATGTTCATGCATGCTGCTCATCCTGAGTAGGTGCCAGCCTCTCCATMTCCTCTGCAAGCAACACCCACATCCCTCTCATCTCTGCTGGGGGGAAACCTGCCAATCTGCCTTATCACTAGGATTATTATAGACATTTCAACACAGCTAGTGCTGAGTAGGTCATCAGCTGATGGCTAAAGTGCTCCTGGTGAGATAAATAGCAACTCTTTTTGCAGGCCCTGTGCAAAACAGGTTCTTTTATGATCTCTGCTGGGAGCGGGTTATTCACAAGTCTGCTGCCTCGCCTTCCCCKTCTCCCAGAACAGTGCTGAGATTATTTGTTGTTCAAGTGAGAAATTAAAGCAAAGCTGGGTTAATTTGAGCTTCCAAACATAGAGAAAAAATGGGCTGTTTGCTGGGAGGAAAAAGATCAAAAAGGCAGGGAGTGAAATGTTTATTTTCAAGCTGCTGCAAAGCATTTGGGAAACAATGGAAGGAGCAGAGCTCCAGCAGTAAGATGTTCTGGGTTGCATCCCCTTGTGTGTTGGCATCACTGAACACATGGAGCACAGCACCTGGCCAAGGCTCAAGCCCTGATTCTCCTGGATGGACCATGATCTTTCCTGTCTCCCAAGTTCCCTGACACAAAGGAGGCACTCTCTGCCCAGTGGGCTCCTCTCCAGTTATTTTGCAGAGCTTCCAGCAGAGCACACCATCTCTGGAGGATTAAGAAACATTTATTTGCTGAGGAAACATCTCCTCATTTTGGTCTTTTATTTCTAAGGGACACCACATAAATTCAGAGCTCTGGGGAACCTCCACAGCCCCTCTCTATAGATTTCTGTAATGCTGCCTCATCACTTCCCACCTACTCCTTTCCATCCTGYTCCCAATCCAAGAGCTCAGCCACARAGCACAGTTAYATCACCACCTCAGGAGTCTGGKTGAAGAGGCTYRTTTGAACAGCTTGTCATCATCTCTTCTCCCACATGCCCGTGGCTGGCACAGCTCTGTGCACCAGGGCATCTCAGCACCAGGGAATTTYTGCTTGTGGGCCACACCTCTGTCACAGAGCCAAGGGTTTGGACTTGTAAAACTGTGTTTCCTGTCAGATGTACAGCTTTCCCAAACTGWATTTCTTTTCCAGCAGAGGGTTTTACGCATTTCCTGACGTAAGCCTGTAAGTCCTTATAGATGATGTTGCCAAGTCTTAATTATAGTTCTCCACACAAGTGTAATGGGTAGATTTATTTAGCAGATGGGAAAAGCATGCCTGTCATTCAGATTCTCTAAGCCTGGGCAGCTCGGTCAATGTTCCCCTCCCTTTCTGTGTCAGCAGRACGACATGGCTGCAATTTCCATGGCAAAAAAGAGGCATGAAACCAGACCAGCTTGAGCCAAACTGGCTCAAAATGTGGAATTGGAAACCGCATGTGACAATGAATTCCCTGACTTCTACTGGTGTCCCCTGATGTTGCCAGGAGCTTAAGCATCTTTAAGTAATTGTTACGACTCAGTAAGAATCCTCTGGCAGGAGCTGCTGGAGAGCCAAGCCAAGGAAGTAGGACAGCCAACAGGGTGTAGACCAGACCAAAATTCTCCTGCCCWCATCTTCCCCTGCTTTTTGAACTGGTGGTTCCCTTGGCAGAAGGAAGGCTGCATGTGGCCCGTGCTGCTAGAGGTCTCCACTGGCACTGACATGGGTAGCATGTGACATGGGTATCCAGCAGAGCTAAATTCAGGCTGCTCGCTGGGTGATGTGTATCCATGGGACCCAGACAGTCTTGTTTCTGGGCTCCACAAAGAGTTCTCTGCCTGGAAACAGTCCCATCTGAGAGAGGGCCCAACAAAGAGGACTACAAACAAAATAATAGTTGAAAAACAGAATTTCAAAATAGTTGTGAGACCCTGTCCATATGTGAGGGATAGGTATGTGCCAGCAAAGCATGACATTTGCAGGGCAGTGTCAGGATTCCTCAGCTGAAAGGGGAGAGAGGCATCTTAGTGTCCAGGCTGGTTGTCAGCATGGACATCCATCCAGTACAGCTGCATTTTTTTTCTCTAGGTTTAGCTGTAAATTGCTCACAAGCATCTTTGTGGAGAGGGGTTCATTCTGCTGTTAGAGCCATTGTTATCAATCCCTTGCTTCACCCTGGGGAAAGCACTCCTGTGTCATCTGATTTTTGAACATTCAACTCCAGAGAAGTTTATTTTCTGTCTCTTGCACCATCTTGATGGAGGGTGGAATCAGATCCTATTGTATCTGTGTCAACAGCATTGCACGAACAATGCAGCRTGATAGGAGCAAAAGCCGGCTCCTCTTCAGACACTCCTGCTGATGAAGAACAAATGTAATGTGGGATATTGAAGAGCTGTTGAGACAATTGTACTTTTGCTCTCTAAAGGTATACTAAAATTAGATGTGCAAACCTGATAAYCCTTCCCACTCTCTTGAATTATTTCTGGTTTTTTATTTTTACAGTCTCCAGATAAGCATGAGCATGAAGTGAAGCTGGTCTGGTTTGGTTTTAAGACGTGAGACGGGAGTGTTGTCTGTCTTTCCACAGCAGCAAGGGAGTATTTCAATGTTGAAAAYCCAGGGTTCGATAATTGTGCCTGCTCTGTTCACAATGCACTCTCTGTTTGGTTTTGGTTTTGGGCTTCTTACTGGAAYTCAACATTGAAGCTAAGCTGTTTATCATCCTCACCTTCCTTTAAAATGGCTGCTTCTACTCTATGCCCAGTCTCACTTTTCCTTACAAAGTGTTGGTATTGAGAGGACATTCCTTCCTCCTAAAAACAAAGTGTTGGGTCCCCTACTTGCAAATACACGTGTGTCTCTGAAGAAAAAYCTGTGTATCAAGTAACACTACATTTATATTGCAATATTTTAACCTGGTACCTGTTGTTGCTCTAGCAGCAGTCAATGTTTCAGTGGGCTGCCTTTGAAGAAAGTAGGTTAAAAAAGGGGTTATGTGTGAGTACAAAGCATGATCTGTTTGTGTGTGTGTGTGCTGTGGGTGAGTGTGTGGGTGTTTGCTTGTGAGTTTTCCTAAAGTGAGCATATGTGAGTGATCGTAACTCACACTGAGTCTTGTCTCTGGAAGTTCACAGTTATATATCAAACCAGTTAGAACACTGCTTCCTTTCCTCTCCTTCTATAGTACTTGTTATCCTTTGTCATTAAGAGTTTTGTTGTAATATCTAAATGTGAAAATGAATAAAGTCATAACTGGCAGCTGCTCTCTGGTTCCTGGGGCCACCTCTGCCCCTGGGGCAGCCCAGCCCGGGCCCAAGCCATCAGCACATTTTGGGTTTATTATTTTGTCTTTTGTGTCCTTTTGCATTTTCCCACATCCTCTCAGAAACAGCTGGACCTTGTGGCATTTCCRTCCAGAATGAAACTCTGTCTTTTCTCTTGGTGAAGTCAGATTCTCTTTGACTAAGCTCGCTGGCAGGAGCAAGCAAAGCACAGCACCCAGCCCTGTGCCCCGGATCCACGGCCCTTCCCCATCCCCTCGGCCCTGGGGCTCTCAGTCCTCCTGTCCTCTTTCACCACGCTGGGAGAACCAGAGACTCCTGGACCCCCACTTCTCCTCATGGAATCAAACCCCTCCCGGACCCCCTTTCTCAGGGCAACACCACCACCCGGACTTCCCTTCTCCTCATGGCACCAAACCCCCCACAGGCCCCTCTTCTCCTCAGGGCATCAACCCCCAGCATCCTCCCCTTCTCATGACACCTAGCTCCGCCTCGGACCCCCATTCTCCTCAGGGCACAGACCCCCCAGACCCCGACCCCCGTGTCATTATGGCCCAAATTCCCTCCCAGTTCCCCTTCTCCTCACGGCACCGAGCCCCGGCCGCGGCCCGCAGGTGGCGCTCTGTCCCCGGGAAGATGGCGGCGCGCCTGTGGCGGTGTCACCGCCGAGCGACGGGCGGGACCGCGGCTCAACCAGCTGGTCGCTGTGAAATGGGACTTGAGTGGATTCATGATCATTCCCCTAAAGAAAAAATCACCGGGAGCTGAAGAAACGCTCCGGCATAGCTCCCTCCTTACCCCTGTAAAGGTGTCAGCACTATTTGTTTGACCAAAATAATGTCCCCTAATGAGCCATCAGTGGCAGATGCACAACTGAGGGGACAGAAGGGGGACATCTCCGCTCCTCTCCACCGCCATCTCTTCATCTAACTCCACTATGGKGTGACAACACCCAAAACGACCTTTTAATTCTCCTTTCCCCATGCAGGGACTTGCCTATTTGGAACGGGGAGACTGTTGCTGTTCTGCTGATGAAATATCCCATTTTGGTGCATGCTGGAGCAGTGCTTGGCTGCTCCTCTCCTGGGGCCATGAGCACTCCCCCTTGGCTGCTCCTCAGCTGCCTTCAGCCCATCCACAGGACATCAGTAGGACAGTCTGGGAGGCAGGTGAGGATCCATGCCACATCCCAGCTGTATGAGGAGGGATGGGGATGGCCATGGCGGTGACAATAGAACCAAGCAGACAGCCCTCACACAGGCATCGAAGCACCTCTCTCCAGCAGAAACAGCCCACAGGAAACCAGACAGGGCAAAATAAAAAACAGCCGTTTCACATGGTGAGCAAAGAACTGGGGATGCTCTGGCTGGGCCCCTTATTTTGCTTCTAGCATGGCCAGTGACTGCTTCCTCAATGCTTTCCAAAAGTGCTTTGAGATCCTTCTCTGAAGGTCAGCACAGTGATAGCAAAGAATCCTTCAGGCTCCCAGGACTTCTTGGCCCCTTCTGAGGACATTTYGGCAATAAAGCACATGACTTTGCATCAGAATGATGCAGAGCTCTTAGTGCTGAGAAATCAAAGCAAGAACAGCTCCAAAACATGTTCTGCACACTGCAGTATCAGTGTGTCAGCCACAGCTCTCACCCTCCGGATGGGGTGAAAGTTTGGGTGAAATGAGGAGGCAATCAATAGCATGTGGTTCCTCACCTAGCATTTACCAAGARGAACAAAATCAAATTTTCTTTTTAAATGTAAGCAGAACATTCAATTGCTGCTTCAGAATAATTTCCTGGATTGTATTGACATTTCTACAGAGCCTTGCAGAAACAGCTTCTCAGAGGATTTTACAGAGCCACACGTGCCTTTAGCAGAGTCTGTAGGTCCCTTCTGCTCTGAGATGCAGGTTTGCAAGCCTGCTGCTTTCCTCGGAAATAGAACAGATCYCTCCAAGGGCAGGATTAAACTACTTGCATCTCAATGAAATAAGTAGACTGTGCTTTGGCAGTGTTATCTTACGTGTGTGTGTGACCAGGTGCATCACAAATGAATAAAATAMAAAAGCTTCTAGAAGAAAACAGGTTAATAAGATGCATAGGTTAAACACCGGGCTTATCTGACGGCCTTCACATGCAGCTGGGAAAGTCACCGAGGAGACCATATCTCAAAAGAACAGCTTCACAGCCATTTTTAAAGAAACTTAGAAAAAATATCCTAGCTCACAGTCCTGCAGTAGTTGTTCTCTGTGCTGTAACTAATTTTCAGTTTGTTTGCCTTTCAAAATCCAAGAAGGCCATTACACTATTTTGTTACATCTCCCAAGTGGCTGAAATCCTTAAAACCATGTTAGTTGATCATTCATCAAACCCTGTTTTACACTGTTTCCTGGGATTAATWTTTATTAACAATATTTAAGTGTAAGTACGATTTCCCATTTTAGCATGTCAGAAGTGAGTAACGCCAAATTGGGCAAGAACCCTGACACGGAAGCTGTGTTTTGAAAACATCCCACCTCATTTTCACACATACAGCTCTTTCACCCCCTATTTCTGACACGCTTTAAAACTCTCTCTGTATCTTTTTGGTGGTCGGAGCTCCTAATTTGGAAATATTTCCAGATGCAGAGGAGCCATGAGAGCCTGTACATGTCCGTACATCTTACRCTGCACCAAGGAAGGYTTATGTTGGACATTAGGAAGACTTYCTTCACAGAAGAGTGATTARRTATTGGAATGGACTGCCCAGGAGAGCTGGTGGAGTCATCACCCCTGGAGATGTTTAAGGAAAGACTSTAWGTGGCAGTCAGTGCCATGGTCTAGTTGACAKGSTGGTGTTTGGTGACGGGYTGGACTCGATGAGCTCAGAGGTCTTTTCCAACCCAACAATCTGTGATTCTGTGATGTGATTCCTTATGGGACTGCGGGTCGCTGGTGCCCGGTGTCACTCCATCCGCCCCCACCGCCCACCCCGCCATGGCCACGCCCACCATTACATCATACACAGTGACCCCGCCCTTTGGGTTGGCTCCGCCCCCTTGGGGGGCGTGGCCCCGGTCCCAGGCCGCCTCTCGCCCTCGTGGCGCGGGGCGGGGCGTGCGGCGCCTGCGCAGAGCGCGGAGCGCGGGGCTGCAGTCGAGGCGCGGGCGCGGAGCCGGTGGCGGAGCCGCGGGACGGTGCGGGGGCCCTGCCGCCCTCGGGGCGAACCGGGCATGAAGCGACAGCTGCCGGCTGCGGACGCCGGGCTGCGCACTGAGCTGCTCCGCCCGCCGCACTAAGGCGGCGACGAGCCCCGAGGCGAACCGAGGCGGCGCGGCGGGCCGAGTGCGAGGAGAGCTCCGTGGCTCTGTGCGCGCGCGACTGAAGCAGCAGCGGCGGCGGCTTCTGCCAGCTGCCTCCCCTGGGCTGGCTAGGGGCTGCGCGGGGAGGGGGCCGCGGCGCCGCCCCCGCTTCGTCCCCTCCCCTACCCCGGCCGGAGCTCACCCGCGGCGGCGGGCGGGCGGCGTGAGCGCGGCGCTCTGAGGGACCGGCGGAGCCCCGAGGGACCGGCGGAGCACGGCTTTTCCCGAGCAGCCTCCCCTGGGAGCCGCGCCGGCGGATCGGACTCGGCTGGGACCTGCCATGACTCCCCTGGCTCCTCCCATGGCATGAGCCCGAGCTCTCCTCCCCGCTCCGCCTGCTTTTGGTCTCTCTCCGCTCCCGGGCTGTCAGATGGGRTAGGACACACCCGGGCGTGCGGGGCTCGGCGCTGCCGCGGGGGAGCGGCGGAGGCAACCGGTGACGGCCGTCGACTCGCCTGGAGTCGAAGATGAGCTGGCGGTGGGCTCGCCAGCACTGGAACGGCGGCTCCTCCGTGCTGCTGCTGCTGCCGCTGCTGCTGTGGCACGGCCGGGTCCGKCCGGCCGGCGCTGACAACGCCAGCCAGGCGTACTACACCGCGCTCATCAACGTGACGGTGCTGAGCCCCGAGCGCGGCGGCCCCACGCTGCTGCGGATCGACCGCGGCCGCTACGGRCAGGACTCCCCCAAGGTGGAGGTCAAGGGGCTGCTGGTGGCTCCCGTCCCCATCAACGGAGGTAACGCTTCRCTCGCTCGCTGTCGGGTGGTTGGTCATTGCCTGGGCTGGGCAGACTTTCCTAGAGAGCTTTGACGAACGAGGAGGAAGAGCTTGCCTAGAGGAAAATGAAATAAATCCATGATCTGAGAATGCTGGCTTGAATAACGGCTCAGCAAAGCATAATGTGCTTTCCAGCATGGATCCCAGTAGACTGGGCTTATTGAGTGGTGAAGGTGTTATTCCTTAACTAATTACAGAGAGGGTAGCGATCGTTGACAGTATCTGGTTACAGCATTGCCTKGATTCTCAGAACAGCTGCATAGCCATCTCGCTGTGCATCTGGATGGCTTTGGCAGCTGCATGAAGTCACAATTKTTCAGTGTGCAGTTCCTAAAAACACTGTTTAAGCTACCAGTCGAGCCTTGGAAGGACTGATGCTATCAAGGTGTTGCTCTTATAGCCAGCCCAAAATGCCTTTGTATGCAGTACTGAACACTGATAGAGCGTTTAAATAAGTTTTGTTTTAATTAAGCAAAGCTGTTGTCCATTGGTTGTTTTCTGATAAATGTTGATTTTTGCCTGAAGTGAAGCCAATTTCTTCAGTAATAGTGATGTAGTTTTAATAGTATCTTATTTTGAAAACCATTCTTGACATTATCTAAACTGCCRTCTTTAAGAAATTGACCACTTGATGAAATACAGGGGTCCCAACCTGCCTCCTGGACAGTAAACATCTGAATAATATATTAAATGAAATATTGGAGTCAGTTAAAACTAGAATCCAGGTGAATATTTAGAGTGTTTTAGAAGAATTGATACACAAAACTACTGTATTATTAGAACCTTTAGGGAATTTGTCAGATCTTAAGATCAGGAAAACATTTTGATGGCTCTTCAGAACAAATGCATCTTGATAGGCAGCCTCTGTAAGCTTCTGGTCTGGATAGATCTGACTGTGCATCAGCAGGTGCTTTCCAGTCTCAGTGGAGCTCAGTTTCATTAGCTTTGCAAAATATAACTAGAATATATTAACGGGGTAGATTTTTGGGTGGAGGGGTGAGGAAGTCTACTCTAAAACAGTTTCTATTTGTACATCAAATCCTACCTATCAGCTATCATCAAATATGTGCAGTCATTCTTACGCTTCCTGATATTCCTCACTTACACCCCCACACAACCCCCATGAAATCAAGAGTCTGTCCTGAAAGTTTTAGGCATGTAAACACTGTTACTGCAAGTAGTATTTTTATGAGTTTTAAAACTGGTGCCTTTTAATATATGCAAGGTATCAAAGCACTTTATTTTTTTGGAGTTGCATTATTTGTCAAGAAAAACTTTTGATACTAATTTCTTTTTCATTTGCCTCTGCTTTTTTTTGATAATGCCTTCACTAAGGTGTGATGAAAACGTTGAGAGAGGCTTTGGCAGCATTTTCATGGGCAGCTAATAATGAGAAGAGCTAAATGAAATTATGAACAGTCCATAAACAGCATTTTTGTACCTACTGCTAAGTACTATGATGAATAACTTTACTGAGAAAGCACAGCAAGGTGCAAACCACAGACATGGTTTGACACTGTGGTTTAAAACTGTTACCAGTTACTGGGGAAATTCAGTCTTGCCCTTCTGTTTCACAACAGACAAAGCAGTCACARCAGCAGTTGTTTTCCTTACTTTCAKATACTCTGAATTGCTCTGTGTAGGTTGTTACATACTTATCTTTCATTTGATTTTTGCTGAGGTGCTTATGCTTTAAAAACGTTTCATGTAGTAACAAAGACTGCAATATTTAATGCTTTTAGTTAAGCATTTCTTGAACAAATGCTTTTTTATATTCAGATTTGATAAAAGATGATGCAGTCTTGCTGAAAGTAATTGCTCTAATGTTTTTTTTTATCAGCCTGTTAATATTGCTATAGAACTCCTTTGCGGATTTTTTTCTAATAGCTCTAAACACCAGTAGCTGCCAGCCACTGCTCTTCCAGCAGCGAATGCTCTGCCACAGTTTTCATGTATCCTCAGAAGAAAAGGACTCTACAGTTGTTAACAACTTTGAAGATACTTTGAATYTGAAACTGCTTTGATGTCAAATATTCACCTATTTATGGTCTGTCTTTGAAATTTTCACAAATGTGGGTGATCTGTTAGCACCTTGATGGCATGGATKGTTTAATGGTTTGGGTTGGAAGGGACCTTGAAGATCATCAAGTTCCAACCCTGCTGCCATGGGTAAGGATGCTTTCCACTAGACCAGGTTTCCCAAAGCCCCATTCAGTCTAGCCTTGAATACTTGATTGTGGCATCTTATTAAATCTCTTACTCATTATCTGCAGGGAAATAAATGAGTTTACTAATTCAGGATTTAGGGCCAATGATCTGCTGCTGATCATACACCATTTCTAATGGACAACCTGTGATTGTAAGTGTTCTATGATGTTTTTTGACTGCTTTTCTTGATTAGACCAAATATTTTATATATTACTTTTYGAAGATGCCAGTCCCATGTGATCACCCATCTTTTAAATCTCAGTGCAGCATGACAGTCAATCACTTCTCCCATGTCTTTAACAGGACTTTAGTGGAATCCAACCTTGTCATGTTAATACATGTATTAAAACTCTTTCCCTGWTCTTTTTATAGAGCTTATATGAAATTGATATGGGCTTTCAAAGGCAATGTTCCCCTGGGAGTGGGGTGGCAGTAATTGGCATGACCGCTTGTGAATGTGACTTGTGAAAGTGCAACTCCAGCGAGCTATTGGTCACAGTTGGCTGCTGCGTGTACATTCAGCACCTGTGTGCGCATATTTTTCCAAGAACATTAGATGCACAATAGCAGCATAGTTTCTTTATTAATCTCTCGTCCATCCTTCTACTTTTGAGTTCTGTGTCTTACCTTTTCTAACTTGTTAATCTCTTGTCATGACTTAATTTCTTAGTAAAGTAGTGTTTTAAACAGTTTCTGCATATGAATGCTCACAGATTGCAAAAAAAAAAAAAAAAAAAAAAAAAAAAAAAAAAAAAGAAAATACTCGTCTTGTTCTGCATGAAAGGATAACAGTGATATGCATCTTCCCAGCCTGGTGCAGTTTTTCTGATCGTTTAGTTCAGGTTTGTAGTATCCCTTCAGTGAGGTTCCAGAGCACTTCTCACTCAGTCCCTTACTCTGTTATTTGTGACTTTGTGCAACCAGACCTTTTCATAGAATCATAGAGTGGTTTGRGTTGGAAAGGAYCTTAAAGATTGTCTRCTTCCAAGCCCCTTGCCTTGGGAAGGGTCACCCTTCTAGACCAGGTTGCYCAAAGCCTCATCCAAAGTCCAAACTGGCCTTGAACACTTTCAGGTCATTTCAGCCCAATCCTCTCACAGCAGCTGCCTGGGTACTCCTGGATGTCTGTACATGCACCATGCAAGTGTTCAGCCCTGTACCACTCCAATGACCTGGGATTTTGATCTTCTTTGGTACTGGGTTCCTAACACCAGTTGTGGTGCAGACCTTTAGGAGTCAGGCATATTCCTCTTGGCATTGCAAACTAAGCTAGAAGCCACTGAGTACTTACCTTAATGGTTCTTGGTAGAAACTGCAGTGCTTTGTGGCTTAGTTCCCTCAAAAACAATCTCCATGGGGAGCAGGACTCTGTGACTGTTGAGTCTGGGTTGTTGCTCTTTGTTCTGTGCTTGGATTCCAGTTTGAGGACTGTAAATGTCAGTCTTGTGTGCTCTCAAGAGTCCCYTGTGGGTGGTCACACCTTGCTGGGAGGTGAGGTTTTGTGCACCTTGACTGGCTTGGAAAGCTGGGAAGCAGGCAGGATGACCGGGACTGGAGATAGGGTGATAAGAAGTGAAATAACAGCAGAATCCAATTTGGAAATGTTATGATTCACTGAGCCAGTAGGTCAGGAGCGAGGGGGTGAGGAGGGCTGGAAAAGGATGGAGTCTAAAGAGCTTGTGGGAGGTGATGATTGCAGGAAAGCTGCTTTGGAGAAAGAGCTCATAGAAAGAAGAGATCTCCCCAAGGGGTAGAAAGGTTGGGGCTGGGCARAGAGACTGAGAATGTGAGGAAAAACATATGTTAGAAAAAGGTGAAAGTGTGGAAGAAACAATATTGGCTCAGTGTTAGAAAGGAGGTGTATCTTCTGCATGGTGCTGTAACTACAGCATTCTGTAGCATCTGGCACTTCATAAACATGTTGTGTGAACAAGTTTTATCTGCAGAAGGTTTGAAATGCCAGTTTCCTGGTAACTGCAGAGCTTTAGGCAGCATTCAGACAGAAATTCTGGCCCAGAATCCAAACCAGTAAGGCTTAGGAAAATGCAGCAAGCAAATACATCAGTAGAGTAGGGTAGGGAAAATCTTGTGCCATGCTTCTGTCCTTCACCATTGGTCTCAGTATCCAGCTTAATTAGYAGTCATTAATTGATAGCAAAAGTGAAGGTTATATATTGGAGTTTATAGCCATAATTGTAGARTACTTACTGAGCTAACAAGATTAAATCTGAACTATTATAGGACTCTCCTAAGCTTCAGTGATTTTCTTTTGTTTAACTTCTTCCCTGAAACAAGATTACCTCTCATTCAAAGAGTTTCTTTTTGTGCTAAAGCCAGCTTTAGTCAAAGCAATTACCTGAAAGAGCTRTTGAAAATAAAATGTTGCTGTAGATAACTTATTGATTCATTGGCACAACCTTATAAAGTAGAAATTATGACTGGCTTGAATAAGAACTGTATTGATAATAACACAAGTAGTAATACATTGAAAGAAAATAAGTCTATTGCATGTATTAAGCCCTGATGGGATAGCACTAGTACCCTTCTTTGAAATAAGAATCAATCAGCACTGCTGGGTTGCCTCTTTGAATTTCCCAGCTGAATTCCTTTTCTGGAAATTTTATCACAGGATTATAATTAATGTGTCGTACAAGGCTGTCTTACTTTACCAGTCAGGTGTTCTACATAGCACCTACCTGAGCAGCAGTACTGGAGGAAGGTGCAGCCTCCATGGCACTGCACCTTCCCGTATTCCTCTATGGTTTCTTTTCGAAAAAGCCTCTTGATCTGCTGCCCCTCAAAATACTAGTGATGTCTCTCCAGCTATTGTATTACAGTGACTGAAGGTCAGACTTTAAAATGATTTCTGTGTGTGTAGCTGAAGCAGACCAGCTCTGCCAACTGGGGCCTCAGAGTACAGTATTAGCTAAGATAAATCGATAGCAAGATATCTGACCTTTAAAGGAAAAAAAATAAAAAAAACAACAGAAAAACCCCACACCAACGAAACTGAAAAAAATAAAATAATAAAAGCCTGCGTGGAATAAAATGGTTAATGCCCAGGGAGTGGGATGTTTCTGTGAACTGGGGACAAAGTCTGATAACAGCCAGTGCTGCAGCCTTGGCTGAAGGGGGGTGTCACAGTTGTGTTTGAAGCGATGCAAGAGCTGCAGGAATGCACAGTGTGAGAGAGGGCAAACCCAGCCACGGTTCAGAACACGGTTCAGACAGATGTCCACTTCTGACAGTGCCTCTGAGACCTCCCCTATTAATTTCATTTTTGCTCCCACAAAATGGCTTTCCCTCTTACACTGAGAAAGCTAAAATGTGGTCAAACAATTGGAAAAGAGGAGAAGGAAAGTACTGTTGCTGTGCTAAKGTAAGCTTGCCACTACTTCAGTAGTTGAGGAGATCCTTGGTTGGATCTGTTGCATTATTAACTATTTTTTACATGAATCCCTAAAATGCTGTCACAAACCTTAGTCATTCMGCAGAAAGGGGTCTTAAATTATAAAAAAATGCTCAAGGAAAAACAGTTATACAAATTGAGCAGCCCTGTGTATTCTGCAAAAGGAAACTGAAGCACTCATAAAGCAGAAAACAAACTTGAGCCTAATGGTGGGTACTTAAATCACAGCTGATTCTTCTGTAAAGAGGCTCTTCTCTGGTGTTGGGGCTTAAGGTAGGAAGGGAGATATTTACAACAACATTGTACATAGCTCTTTAACCCAGCGGGCTGCCAATTCTAACAGAAAATTGGGATTTTGCCAACACATGATGCATAGATAAACACAGAGATRGGCAGAGCAAATAGCTTGTATTTCAAACAAGCCAGAAGAGTAGCACACCTATAGGGAAACATACTTAATGGTTTTCTGTATGCTTGTATCTTCTGAATTTCCCTGAGTGGCTCCTGRTTATATCTTTTTCTGTGCAAGTGCTTTGTCTTAGAATAATTTAATGTAAAGTTGCTTTTCATTCTGGCAAGTAACATCAGTTTTGGGCCCCTCACTACAAGAAAGACATTGAGGATCATACTSGATCATATCCAGAGAAGGACAAAGGAGTTGAGGAAGGGGCTGGAGCACAAATGATGAGGAGAGGCTGAGGGAGCTGTAGAAAAGGAGGCTCAGGGTGGACCTTCTTGCTCTCTAAAACTTCCTGAGAGGAGGGTGAAGCCAGGTGGGGTTCACCCTCTTCTCCCAGGTACCAAGTGGCACAGTGAGAGGAAACTGCCTCAAACTGTGCCAGGTGGGTTTAGATTCAATGTTAGGAAAAATTTAATCACTGTAAGGGTGTCAAGCACTGAACCAGACTTCCCAGGGTAGTGGTGGAGTCACCATCCCTGGAGGGATTTAAAAGACGTGTAGACGTGGCATTCAGGGACATGGTTAAGTGGTGAACACAGCAGTGTGAGATTAATGGTTGGACTTGATGATCCTACAAGTCTTTTCCAAGCCAAACAGTTCTGTGATCATCCAGGTAATACTTGCAGCCCTTGTGTTGTAGATTCTAGTTGAACTTTGGACACTAGATCATAGATGGCAGGGTARTGGAGAGCTGTTGATGATGATTCTGTCTGACCCTGTTGGTGTGTGTCCCTTGCAGAGCCACTGATGTCCCTGGCACCTGAGCTGTACAGGAGATGTTTTATTTTAACCATCTCACTTTTATAGAAGGGTGACTGTGATTCTAAGGCTTTCACTCTTTTCAGAGTACCTTCAGCCTATGAAAAAGACAATTAGAAACCCCCACATTTTTCACTATTGTTTCTGAATTTTATTTAGTTAAAAGTAAAAAGATTACTTCTGTGTGGTGTAATGGRATGCTAATTCAAGGAAAAGTACGTTGTGACTTTTTATTAAATCTGAAGTGATTTGCAGACACTTAGTTCAGATTTATCTAAACCAACCAGATTTTCCTCAATGTTTTCCTCACTGTTTCCTCAATTACTTAAATAGTKCTGAAATAATATTGTCAGCTGTTAAATTTTCATCAGGATATACTTACTACACCTTGTCAGCMATAACATGCTGTAAGCATTTGAGTGGTGTTTGTTGGTCCATATCTGGAAAGCTTYAGTTTCTTAATATCTTGTTTGATAATTCTGTTGCTTTGTCCAGTAACATTTCATAGTTCTGTCTGCAGCTGAGAGAGACTTTGATCTCTACCATGATAGAAAGTTTTGTACTACTTTTCCCACAGATGTTCTCTGTTACTGCTTTATCTGTTGCTTATTAAACTAAAATTTCTCAAGCATACAAATTTCAAGATGCCTACATTAATTTGGAGAATGATGCCTCCTCATTCACARTGCCCATTGTTGTTTTTAAGGTTTTTCACTGACCATTTACTTGGTTTCGTGGCCATTTTTGTTTTCACTTCATATTTTCATTTTGATTGTGATTTGTACTGAATTGTACTGAAGCAAACAGTACATAATCCATAGGATTACTATTTTTAATAATTCTGTATATTTTAAGTAARTTTATGTTGGCCATAGCATCTACTTTCAGAGTTATTTTTGGCAGTTTGAGGGGATCCTGTGGAATTATAGCCATTTAGAAAATGGTACTTTCCAACAGATGTATCATATCTGAGATTCTTGAATATGATTTCATGGGAAAAGGATGGAATTTTTAGCTTTTAAGGTTTGAGAAACTTCCTATCACAGTCTGCTGGTGCTTTCCCTCTCCCAGGTTTTTAAGTGGAGATGTTCAGAGCTAGAGRGAATGGTGCATTGAACTGCTTTTATCTTAACAGAGGGCATCCAGGTTGGTGGCACACGTGCTGTGTCGTGATTCTTCTACATTTTCAAAAAGAACTATAATTCCTTTAAAAAATACATACTGTTCTCAAAATTAGGRTTACAAAGACAAGCTGCAAAAGTGCAGTGGGCATGAACAGGCTCTTCTATGATTGTTGCTGTTTGTGACGCCATAACCAGTGCTGCAAAACAGCATGTGTGTATCWGTGCTAGCTAGCAATTTCCACAGGGATTTAAGTAAACATGTCAGRGTAATGGAAGAAAACATTATAAAATTTGGCTTCAGGCATCTGTATTTCAGATTTTTCCCGATGCCTGTATGAAACAAAAATACAGCAAATAGCCCTCTGTGTCTGAGATGTCTAATACAGACTTGAAAAACAATTGTGAAAAGGATGTGCTGGTATCTGGCTCCCCACCCTCYTTCCAGGGGAACAGGGAGAGGCACTTCTTGTCCAAATTAAGAGATGCAACGACTTCCTGTATGTCTGCCACAGTATAGATTATTCTGCACKAGCTTTCTTTAGGCAAGCAGAAGATTGTCTTTCTTGTTTCAGAAAACATCATTAGCTCTTTGAATCTTCTTTGTTACAGGTTTTAAGCTCAGTTATGTTAAGCTGAGAGTGCTTAAAAAGACCTTTTGTTTTGTTTCCAGCTAATATGTTAAACTGGATATTTTTTTTTTTTTGTGGTAGATCTTTTGCTGAAATGTTGTAGTTTTTCTGAGCTCACTTCTTGAAAAGGACAATATTGTGGGACACTTCARTTGCTCTTAACATTGCAAAACTGTAGTGTTTTCTAAGCTATTATGCAAATAAATTGTTTGTTTATATCTTGAAAAAAATCACTGTTTATCTCAACTATTTTTAGTAGCCAAAGATTCTTATACTCTTGGCATTTGAAAGGATAAATACATTTTCATTATTAACGGCTACTGGCTCTAAATTTATAAAATCCTTTAATGATATGGCCAGTGTCTGASACTAAACTGTGCTTCCAGTTGTGCAAACAGATCCCTCTTTCATCGGTTTCAGCTGCTGTAGTGTGAAGTTATCTTCTGCCTTGGGTTTTGTGCCTTTTGTACAGAGCTCTGTGGGTTGGGYTGTTCCAGGATATGTTACACCATCAGAAAGGACAAAAGAGCTTTGCACACTGTTGAATTCAGACATCTGGCATTTGCCATTTCTGTTACTYTTCCTTTATACCATCTATACCTGTTCAGCTGACGAGTGCATTGTGTTTCCAAAACCATTTGTTTCTCTATGRATTTGAATACATTTCCTTGTAGACAAAATGTGCATATGTAAAAAGCTGATGTTGGCTGCTGGGGTTTTACAAGATCAGCTTTTAATATTGTCCTTTTTTACAGYAGCCTGCACATGGCAGATAACTCTGAAATCTTGTTTTCACAAACTGCTTTGTTTAATTTTACTTCCCACTGCAGTGATATTTTTACGGCTGTATTAGAAACAAAAAAGAAAGATGTGTTCTCCCCAGAATGACTGATAAACAGCTGTTTTGTAAATGCCTATAGCAGATGAACCATATTCTAATGCTTTTCAGCCTCTAGGCAGGTATTGATTTGAATGCGAATTCATTGTTCTAGCTGCACTGGAGTTAAAAATAGCTTGTGTTAGTGAGCCTAATTCTCGGGCATACAGTCACAGCTTTCAGTGCGTGAGAATTCTTTTTTTTAAGTATTCTTTTCATAAGCATACAATTCTCTTTTGACTTTCTTGACAAGAGGATAGTGGCTTTCTAGTGCATAATGGTTAAGTACTTCAGCAAACTTGGAATTAGGTTTTGGTTTGATTTTTTTTTTGCCTGTTAGACAAAATTGCCATATATGTAAATTTGTTTCCTATTTCAGTTGCAGATCGTCTGGGCTGTGACCCTCGAACACGTTTCCAGGTCCCACCAAACACCAAGCAGTGGATTGCTTTACTACAGAGAGGAAACTGTACATTTAAAGAGAAAATACTGCGAGCAGCTTCACATAATGCCACAGCTGTGGTCATTTACAACAATATATCCAGTGATGAACCTGTCACAATGACTCATCAAGGTAAATAAAATGTACTCTTGTTCACTATAATGCTTTTGCCATATAAACTATTGCTAAAGAGCCCTTGGCTTTGGACAGCTGGTATTTGAAGTTGCCCATTCCCTAATGATTTCTGCATGTATGCAATATAGTGAAATAAGCCAGTAATTCTGAAAAGTTATTTTCCTTTTACATACATTTATCCAAAGAGTTTTTTCTGCAGTGGGGATGTGGGTGTGTTGGAATGAGGAAATGCCTGTAAGAGCTGAGGAGCAATCTCTCAAACCTTTCTGCAGAAGAGAAGCTAACATACCTATATAATGCAAGATCTAGAATTTTACGCAGCACCTGTACCTGAAGACTTCYGTAGCAGCATGTCTTCAACTTGCTGTTCTGGCAGGGACCATCAAATGTCAACAGTTGTATTTCGGGATCTGAGCTTCCATACTTTTTTTAATGACAGTTTACAGAGGGTTCTCTTCCTGCAAAGAGTCTGAGTGTCGTACAGACACCAACCMAACAGTGATTTGGAGGGCAGTTGCGTCTATAAATTGTCTAAAATAATGCTGTRAATCTGTTTAGAGAGAGTTCTACTTTTTTACAGCTACCGATGCGTAAAATTTTACTATTCCTAGTGACTTACTTTTGCTGGTGGAAGCCTCATTTGTAAACATTTTCCTTGGTTAAGAAATATTTGTGCAATTCTGATAACTACCTTTTTCATTTTCCAGAAGGTTTTCTCAATTTGGAACTATTTAGCTTAATCGGAAAAGGCACATACCTCTMTTTGTGGTAGTACTGCTGGCTGATTTATATATTTTAGAATATTTTCAGTCTCTGGAAGCATAAGGGGTTGCTTGGAAACTAGAATTTCCTAATTATTGCTCTGCATATTGTCACACAGTTAGAATTGAATTCTTTTACTAAAGACATGCTATGGCTGTTTCTTTTCTTTACAAGGAAAATGTCTTGTGTCTTCTTCTGGTTTAGAGGGGTTTAACGTTCCCAATTCTGTATACCACAGGAATTTTACAGGGGAGTTTTGACCTCCATGTAGCAATTTAAAGCCTGTTGACAATTGAATTTTATCTCAGGTACCTTGCTTAGACATTTTTACAAGTAAACTGCAAGCAAAAAGTCACGTGTTCTAATAAAACACTTCTTGCCACATTCCTTTTTTTCTTTTCTTTTTTTCTTTCTTTTCCCCCATTTCTCTCTCTACAGTTGTAGTTCCTTCCTAAGCCTTCAGCTCTACACTCTTTGAACTACGTGTAAGAATGTACATTCTGCAGTCTCTGTTTAGCAATAATTTATGAGTTTTCCCATGGCCTGGAATAYCTCAGTGTGTCAGAAAAAAGGCTACTTCTAGTAATACAGCTTTGGCATTGTTGGCTCTCTTATGTGTTAAATCATATTGTGGGTTTGATTATAACTTTTAATACCTTCTTTCTCATAATGCTGTTAGATTTGGCAGTTGCTTTYATAGCAATAGGAAGGGATCTGTGTTTTATTAGGAAATCCTTGTTCACTCTCTGTTTCAGCTCAGAAAACCAGTCTGTTGCCTTTGAAACTTTAACAATAGGCTCAGTAGTTCTGGTTGGTTGAAATGTTATCGCGAGAAATAAAATATGAGCGTTGCTGAGAGTAAAACAGTGTCATGTAAGGTAGCCAGGCAGCTGTTTGGGTACTTGATTTTTGGGGAAAAGACCAATACTGTCTTCAGCATGCTGAGTTCCAAATATTTACTCTTACTTATGGTAAGGTTTAAAAGAAATGTATTTACTGGAGATTATGCATATTTTAGCTTTGTGTATTTGAGATACAGGGGTTGAGATTCATGTGCTCAGTTAACTCTGGAATCTTTGCCCTGGTTTGTGCTAAAGGCTCTGTCTCCAATTTAATATTGGACTTGARGTGTTCAAACTATGTGACAAGCTAAAAGTAATTTTCTGGAACTGAAGTAGCACCTGTAATGAAGAGAAATATTGCTCCACAGCCTTTGTTTTGATTGTGTTATGGACATGCAAGGGATTTCCTCAGYAATCACTTTGCAGAGCTTCCTGCAAATGATTTCCTGGTGGGTTGATGAAGGAGCTGCAAGTGTTTGTATGTAGTCTAGTCTTTTGGTGTTAGTCTCAACACRGGGAGCATTTGGAGTSCAGCATTCCCAGTGTTGGGAGTTTWTCCAAGTGGGAGATAGATTCCTGAACCTTTGCTTATGGGATGAGTCTTTTCTAACACTCTGTGTAAAGCAGACTTGCACACATTCAAGCCATTCCCTAGCCTTCGTATTTCTGCCTTTTCAGTCATATCACTGCTTGTGTGCTTTCTAGGTGGTGAATAACCACATCATCTCAGAGATCTCTTCCAGCCTAATTGATTCTGTATGAATCTGTGTGGTCTGCTAATTATATATTCCAGTGCACTACATCACTGATCTTTAGTATTTTCTGTCCCTAAGGTTGGGAGGAGCTGCCCCTGTGTATTTGTTAGCTGTTCTGTACTGATTAAATTAGTGTGGGTCAGAGTTGATATCAAGTGAGGACGAAGGTGAGCCACCAAGATGGTGTTAGCTCCATATGATGTCTATTGCTGTGCTGTATTCATCTTTTCTTTCAAAATGCAGTCTTCACAAAACAATTTTGCAGCTGTTTTATGATGACCAGGCTACRTTCTCCAGACAAAGGAGAAAGTAGACCTTGTGTTATTTTACATTACTGTAACATAATCTTTGTGCTGCYGCATATCAAGCCTTAGACATATTCTGTCTTCCTGGTGAAGCAGAGAGGAAAGCAGCAACTGCTTATAATGCACAGTATGAACTGCAMGCTTTCCTGCTTGGATATTTGCATGAATTCCAATCACCCGCACAGACAGTGTCTGTGGTAAAAATAAATAACACATTACACAGATTTATGTATGTTGCCCACCTGCAGAGAGGTGATTCCCTGTGAAAATAGCTTAGGAAGCACTTCTCACCTGTAGGATTAATATTTTATCCAAGCTATTTTATGCTTGAATACACATTTGAARATTTTATTCTTATGGAAATTTGTTCGTTCTCAAAATATTACTTAGCAGAATGGCAATTCCTTCTGGTGGCTGGATAACAACTGTCTCAGTGAATCAGTCTGTCATCACTGTGTTAAATGAACAATTTCTGCTGCTAATGGTAGAATTGGCTTTTTCTTGTGTCATATTCCACCCAGTCTCTGCCCCTTTGTTTTCACCTTTGAGTTTTAAAGTAAATGGTGACCTTCAGGAGCTGGTGAACTTCTTTTTAAATACCTGTATTTCTGTTAGTGTTATTTGCAACAATTTATTTTCTTTGTGCATATCATTGTATATATTATCATGTATGTGTAAAACAAACTTACTTACACAATCCTGTAGATGTCTTCTATTAACCTAAGCAAAGGACATCATTCCCAGCATAGGTTGTGTTAGACTATGATGTCACTGGCAGGAAGGCAGTTTWATGAGTGGTTTTGCTTGCTGCTTCTGTTAAAGCAAAACTGATACTGTCTAATGTAAAAAAGAGCCTGTGTGGTGGAGAAAATATGGAGTAGCTGTCTCTTTTATAAGCAGTTATGGGAATCGGAAGAAAATGCAGGTTAAATAACACTTTAATTTCTTTTTTGTTGGTGTGTGGTGGCCATAAACCTGTCAAGAACAAAATAGTTWAATTTCAGGATGTTGGAACTAGRTAATTTTTAAGGTCCCTTCCAAACCCATRCTATTCTATGATTTTATGATACTGAATTTCTCTCCTTAAATCTGGACTTTTATTTGGATTTGTGGAAAAAAATATAAGCCAAACAGGACTCTAAAGTTTAAATTTCATACTTAGAATTTATGAAACAAATACAGACAGAAAAAGAGAACCACATACGGAAGAGAGCATCGARATGAAATTGCTGGAGTCCAGTAACTAAGGTTTATCAGCACCTAAGAAATTTCCAGACGTTTATAAACAACTTCTAGTACAATACTGTTTTTAGAAGATTTACCTGATACAGGTAAATCTTCTTAGATCTTTCAAAACGAGCTGCAGACATCTCATCAATGAAGATCAATCTTCATTTCTCTTCTAAAGAACCAATTCAATAATTTTCTGGAGGAAGGTGTTTCTGTTGTGTGATGTGCCCAGGTGATGTTCCCCTGCCATGGCACTGTGGAAGAGCTGTCCAACATGAGCTCCCAGAAACAGGTTCCTTCCAAGGGAAGGACTTTTCATAGCCCTCTATTCACTTAAAAAAGAGTGGGAACTGTAGGGCTGTACTTGCTTTGAACTGTGCTAAACTGCCTGTATGTTCTGTGGATTGTTTTAGGTCAGTGGGTCAGAGGCAGGAGGGACAGGAAGCAATTTGAAGTTGTTGCYATCYAATGGCTATTSCASGTTCTTGCCCTCATTCGGAGTGGGKACAATAGACTGCAGAGAGCCAGCAGTCCGAGTGCCACTGGCCTCTGGTGTGGCACTGATCCCTGAGCAGCTCATCTCTTAACTGCTGCTTGCCTTTTTCTCACAAATGTCTCTTTATGTAACTCTGAGCTGAACTGATGCGTGAAAGCTCTGCCAGGGTGCACTGCAGATTATCCTGCACAAATGTGTTGACGAATATTTTAGTTCTCTACCAAATCCACTGCAAAACTTGTCCTGAATTACTGAGACCTACTTTTAATCCACAGGTCAAAACTAATTTTATTGTATATTACAGTATTTTTATTAAGATGTGTTATTATTAATTTATTCTCGAATATTAGTGAAAAGGAAAAAGCTGAGTCATTAAAGCTGAAGCTTTAAAAGTGCCAAAACAATTAATAGTCAAACCATTGTTGACATGTATTTGATCTGTTTATGTTTGCTAATTGAAAATACAGAGGATGAGTGTCAACAGCTTTATTGTTGATCTGTTTCTCTGATTACTTTCCTTGGAGGTGTATCAATCAGAAAAATCTGTCACACAGTAGATGGAGGTGTCTGACAATCAGAGATGTGGAGAGGAGTGTGTTTGACGTGC